TTTTTTTTGTTGTTGTTGTTGTCGTGATTATCATGTTTTGCCATCGCCAAGCTGGATGACTCGGCACCTACTACTCGTTTACCGTGTCTGCGTACCTATTCTTTGCTCAAGCCGAATACGCTCTCTACGAGGTACGTTCTTGGCACGGCACAAAAGGTTACCAAGAACTACAAATGCCATCGTACGTCACTCCCCTCGAAATGCTAAGAAAGACTGTAATAAGCAGTTCGAATTATCACGGCTGTAATCTTTTACGTTTTTCCTTTTTCCCGGGAATCGAAGGGGAAGCTTATCAGCGCCAACAACCGGGAGATGAGGGACATGGGGCGGCAGCCTGCCAGCCAGCCAGCCCTGTTTCCTTGCAGGAAGAAACTCAGGCTGTGTTGGGTTTACTGGGAGGGCTTGTGCAGACATGCCTCTGAAATGTTGGATGGGACGCTGGGGGTCACATCCATCATCGGTGAGCCGTGTTGTTGGGACCAATGCAGCTGAGATCTAGATCCCCTTCTACGGAGTATCTTACAAAAAGAAATTTTCTATCATGTTTGTTTTTCCGTTTTTGCTTCCACGCCCGGGGATGGATGGAGCTTGTCGGGATTCCCTGGCTTGGGAAGCTACTTATCTAGTTGCGAGATCAATTAGACAACACCTGAAAAAGAAAAAATAAAGGAATCCAATGGTAAGACAAAGGGAAAAGCAAAAAGAACAGCGGTAGTAGTAGTAGTGAAAATTTTCCTTCCTAGTGCCGCGATCTCAGCTAAAGTAGTCAAAGGGCGATGCCGGGCGGGTTCAAACAAGTTCGAGAATCGTGTTAGTCTTTGCAGCTATCAAATCTTTTTCAGACCAATTTGCCCTGCGCCTCCCCGACTACTACTAGTACTACTAGTACTACTCCTAGATAGCTGGTAGGAAGTCGCGGAATCCGACATACCGGACAGTAGCACTGCCTGTGCCCTTTTTTTGTGCCCTTGCTCACATTTCTCCTCTGGCTTGTGATCTTCTTTTGTCTTCTTTCTGCGGGACTGGACTAGGTCGGGGATGTTGTGGTGAGGATGATGTACGAGTAAGATCCATGATCCCTGAAGACAGCTTCACAGGGTCTTCCTATGAGGTACCTTGTCAGATTTCATGGGCTGGAGAGGGTCTGGACTCGGTTGTAGGATTCCAATGATTTGGTAACGGGATATGTATTTGTAGCCTGTTGTATATTGACGAGGGCGAGGCTACTGATGCTTGCGCCGAAGTCGGCCTGAGGATCGGATTTACATGGGATGGGGTGAGACGTCGTTGGACTGAGAAGGAGGCGCTTTGCGCGTAGAATCACGATTCGGAAAACCAGGGAGTGAGACATAAGGCGGTGAATGGTACCAGTAGTAGTACTCTTTTATTAGAAAAAAAAAAAAAAGATGTGAACTTCATGATAGTACTAGAAGTAGTAGCTCTTGCTAGTATCAGCTGAAGGAATCGGCTAGGCCGACGGAAGAGACGGGAGGGAATAGGGCTGGCTGAGTGCCGGCTGCACCGCGTTTGGGTTTCCCTTGTTTGAACGGTCAAAGGGGGGGAGGGGGGTTGCTTAACGCATGGAGTACGGGGCAGAAGAGGTCCCTCAATAAATGTCAAGACCGTGGCCATTGCCATCTACAATGGGCGGCTTTCGTAGCAACTGCTTTGCTATTCAGGCGGAGCGAGCGTTGCGTTATTCCATGTTCCTGCTCTTCCAGTATAGGTCCACATATTCACCGCAGAGAAAGGGTTTGAGAAGTAGCAGCGATAGGACAGTCAGCTGGGTCATACTTTGCACATCTTGCTTCAACAGTGTCATCACAGACGAGTTATTACGCGTACAATATTAGTTAGTAGATTGTCATGAGGCAGAGGTAGATGATGGATTGGGATTGAAGAAGATTTGCTACCTACACAATATATAAGAGACTTAAGCAAACAACCACCCATCCAAAACTTTGGACGAACAAGTCCGCCATCTCCTTGACATTTAGCAAATATACTACCGTGTCAATCTTTAAACTCTCAGTTCGCGATACCGTCGGTAAGCTGTTCGCTCGACATGCCAGGGTTTCGTCGAGTATTGTGTATAATGTTGCAACCGGTGTCCATGACACTCAAGAAAACATAAGGTACCTACCTAGTATGGGGATGTAGTTGCTCTGCTCTATGCGGTACTTCTTCACCACGTCCACCGCGGTTCCACCTCCATCGGATCGAAATCGAGGATCTACGATTCAGCTCTGCGGTCATTTTTACCCACAAAGATCGACCTCGTCAAACAAAGCAATGATTTTCTTTCGACAGTCCATGATAACATCACTATGAGGCAAGTTGCTCAAACACGCCAGATGCTGAGGTGCAAAACGTAACTCGGGATTCATCGCGGGGGAAGTCGACAAGAGGCTTCCGCCGAACAACGAGCGCAGCGTTGCAGTATCTGGAAGAGAGCGTCAACGGCAGCTGCTGAGCCGGTGACTGGACCTTTCAAAGATGCCGACTGCGGCCGCCAATCATGAGAACATCCAATCTCACGTCTTATTGAGTAGGAGCACTAGATGAAATTGATTCGGACTCTGCACAGTTTACCTGCGGCAGGGCATCAAAGAGACAATTGCAGCGATGACTTCAAGACAATAATACGAGCACAGGTACCGAGCACCATTGAGCAAGGTTAGTCAGCCGTCGTGGCTAGTAGTGGCTGAAGCTCTCGAAAATCGGCAATCGTGGCGCTTCCCCAGCTCTCTGTGGCTGGTGACTCTAGCTGCTACTGTTGTTTGTGTTGCTGTGCCACGGATTTTTCTGTTCGCTCCAGAATTTCGTATCGAACCTCCCGGGCCTCTGCATCTCGCCCATCCGCCCAATCTCTGGCCCTCGCGTCGCGCCTTCACTGGCTCTCGCCTTTCACCCCGAAACCTCAGGCAGCTATCCTTTCTCATCCTCACTCTCTCTTCCGCCTTTGTTCGTCGCCATGGCGCCGCTCATCCTCCACAACGTCCCCGACGATGAATGCTACGTCGGCGAGGACGGCGTCAAGCGACCATATGCCATGATCTATCCGTAAGCATCCCCCATCTGCCATCTCATTCTTCAATCTCTCTCTTCTCTGGATCATCACTTCTGACCAGTCATCTCCTCCCAGACACGAAGGCACAACCCGGACACGGCGCAGCGTCGCGGAGACGGGCTCCTTCGGCAAGTCAACAAGACGGTCTCGCTCTAAAACAGGGACTCCGGCTCGTGGCCGAGAGAATCCAACCCTCGCCGCCGCGGACAAGCTCTTCTACGACTGGGTCTCCAAAGCCAACGCGAACCCGGCCTCCGGCTCCAACCAGCGCAAGGCCGGCACCGCCTCGGGCGCGCAGGAGGACGCCGTCCCGCCGCGCGCCGCCGTCAAGTCGTCCCCCGTCGAGCTCATCCTGAGGGGCTACCGCTCGGCGACGCAGCAGTACGCCGCCATCGCCCACTACGAATCCCTCGCCGGCCTCATCCTCGAAGACTACCCGCGAGAACCCCCCTCCACCCAGCGGCGGTACAAGTCGGAGCTGCGCGATCCCGCCTTTACGCGCCGCCGAAACCTCACCCCCGAGGAGCGCGCCCTGGTCAACCGCGCCGACGGCGGCGAGCACTGGGTCAAGGTGACGTTTGCCAGCGCCGAGGCCGGCAACGCCGCCCTGTACGCCAGCCCGCAGAGGATACTGGGGCACCTCGTGTACGCGGAGCCGTACCGCGGCGTCACGGCCCCCGTCAAGGACGAGGCCTGCCCGGACATTGAGCAGCTCGACGAGGGGCGGTCAAAGAGCGTGCCGAGCTTTGCGCCGCCGAGCTTGGGCCCCGCGAAGCGCAAGTCCGTGTCGGGCCTCCCCACGACGTTTAGCAGCCGTCTTCTCGACCTCTCTCCGGCCGAGTCCAGGGAGTCCAGCCAGACGATGAACTCGGCCACCCTGACGACCAACTCTCACGGCTCCAGCGCCACCATCACTGACCCCATCCCCTTCCCGCTGACGACGACGACGACGACGACGACGACGACGACGACGACGACGACGACGACCGGCTTCGAGCCGTTGGAGCTCGACCAGGAAGACAGCATCTTCTGCCGACGCATCCCCACGGCGCGGAAAGCCCGCCTGCTCCCCGCCGAGCAGGCCCTCCTGCCGCAGCAGTCGGTCATGCAGCGCATCCTCAACGCGTTGCCCGTCATAAAGTGGTTCTCCGGCAGCATGATTGGCAACGAGGTGCCGAGGACGGAGACGGGCGAGTTTGACTGGGGCCGCGCCAGTCTTTACTGGAAGATTATCTGGTGGCTTGACGCGACGTTTAGTCTGTTCAAGGGGGACGTGTATAGCGTTGATAAAGATGATTGAAAGGGATGAGATGCGAGGATGGAGCGGCGGGCTGAATTATCATGTGCAGCGTCTTTAATCTTTCCCTTTCTCTGTTCCTTTTCTTTTTTCCCCCGGTTTTTTTATCATTCGAGGTTCGAAGTTGGAAACAATTCCTTTATGCGAATGAAAAGGGGTCCGAGCGGAAAGGACGAAGCAAGTCTTCCAAATCAGCCTTCTGTGGAGACGTGAAGAGAAACACAACAGCGCAAAAAGGGGGAAGAAAAGTGAGAGGCAGAGGAAAAGACCTCGCAACCTTAAAGCATCAGAGGGTAGGTATTCCAATCATGACAACTCTTGTAGGCGTTCTTGTTTGTTTTTTACTGGGCGGAATGAAAGGGATACGCATGTATGTAAAGATGAATACCTCTTTTTTTTATACCTCCCGTTTTTCTTCTCTTCTATGGGGTTTCGTGGTGTTTCTGTAAATGAGAGTTTTTCCTTGGTTTGGTCCAGTCATACAATTATATCGTTGACTTTTTTTGGGGGTTTTGTTTTCATAACTTTCGTGCAAAGGCGCCATCACTTTTGGAGTATGTATATCTAAGTGCCAGTCCTTCAGACAGAGAGAGCCCTCTAGATATGCAAGATGAAAGAGGAAGAGAGAGAGAGAGAGAGAAACAGTGTAACACAAATGGAGAGATTCTTTTTTGGGCCGCCCTTCCAGGAATGCACGCTCTTTCATATCAAAGAATGGAGAGAAAAGGAGAAAGTAGGTTGGGACACAATTTTTGTCAAAATCATTTCGTAAAAGCCATTCAATCATATCGATGGCCGAGAAAACCAACACCAAGCCATGCCAGAGACACAAAGAAATAGAGGAGAAAAAGAGACCAGAAAGAGGAAACGATATACACAAAAGGAGAAAGTAAAAAGGAAAGGAAAGGTGAGGCGTCTACCTCCCAAGTGCATGCCCCTACGTCGCCTCAGGAGAGAGCTCCAAGTCGTTCATCGGATTGAGCGAGTCTCTGTCGTCAAAGGGCGAGTTAAACGTCAGCGGTCTCCCTCTTTCCCCTTCTTCGTCATCGTCATGCCTCTCTTGGTCGTCGTGATCTCTGTCAAGTTCTCTGGCGCGGTCTGCTCCGCGGTCTGCTTCGTGGTCTCCCCATCCTCCATGTGCTTGCTGCTCTCCCCATCCTTCATGTGCTTCGAGCTCTTCATGCTCTTCGCGTGCTTTATGCTCTTCATGCTCTTCGAGAGCTCCATGTTCTTCATGTCCTTCATGTTCTCCTGCTTCGCCATGCTGAGACTCCCTCTCATTCGGCTCCCCGCTGTTGTCATCAGAGGGAGTGTGATCCCTCGTCTCCCCAAGCGTCTCTTCATCTCCGTGCTGATGACCAGCTTCATCTCCGTCACCGTCTTCTTCCCTAATGCCCTCGCGCGTTACGGGCGGGAACAGGTCGTCTTGTGGATTGGGAGACGCCGGACCTATCAACAAGTCAAACGTTACGTCTGTGGGCGCCCGCCGAATCGGCTGCGGAGAAAAGGGGCGCGCGTTTCGCGGCTTGTTGAAGTCGGCCGAGAAGACGCTCTCCGAGTCGCCCCCGCTTGGTTTGGGGTCTGAAGCCATGGCGGTGAGCGACTGATAGCGGTCACCGTCCATCATCAGGCTCTCGCTTCGTTGTTCAGACGTCGTGTCCGCGAGGATGCTCTTGGGCGGCAGGATAGAGAAGAGCTTAACTCCCTCGCCGCCGCTTGCGCCAGCGCCATGAGCGCCATCGTCCTCAATGGCAAACAAGTCCTGGCCCTTTTCCAGGACATCGTCCAGACCACCGCCACTCCAGCCTTTCCTAGCCAAGCTTTCGAATATGTCCACTTCGGCTCGCACAAGGCTGCAGCTCGCCTCGACGATGCGAGCGCTCGTCTCCTGGCTTTCCCTCAACAGCGTCCTCGCATGGTCGGCATGCAGGCTTGTCAGGCCGTCGAGCTTATAAGTCAACTCGACGAGATGGGCCCGGAACCGCGCCACGTCCCTGCGCCTCTGCTTATGCAACTTCAGGCCTTCCTTCTCCAGGCGCTTAACCTCTCTGCTCTGGGCCTTGATGTTGTGCTGGTACGTCTCCTCTTCCTCGCTGATGACGGTCTGCCACTTGTCGAGCTCGTGTAGCAGGGGCACTTCGAAAGAGCGGTAGACCGTCTCCGAGAGAATCTGCTGGTGGTTGGCAATCAGATGATGCACGCCCGAAGCCGACATGAGCGTATCAGCCGTGCATTGGCCCTTGGTCGTGAAGCTCGCCGTCATGTTGGCGGCCCCAGCAGGGCCAATCGGCTCCGACCGCGCCTCCTTCAGCCTCGCACATGCTTCCAACGCCGAGCCAAACGTCGAGGCAGCCGTGGACAGGGCAGCGAGGGCAACCCGGTAGGCCTTGGCCGACGTCAAGAGCTCCGCATACGCCTCCTGTGACCGCTCGAGGTCTGCGTTTGTTATGACAGCATGCGACGGGCGCGGAGGAGGCGGTAAGGGCAGGTTATACTGGGACAGCGGGAGAGCAGTCGACGCGAGAGAATAGACGGGAGACTCAGGCATGGGAGGCAGTTGGGAGGGCGTCGGGCTGGATGGTCGAGTGGCACTGGGAGTCGCCATGCCGTCAGGATGAGAAGAAATTCAAGGTGATGGAATGAGCAAGCAGATGATGCAGCGATCGATGCTCGTGATGGCAGAAGATGAAGTCGGGATGATGGAGGGCGGGCTTCGCTGCCTTGATGATAAGAGCAGAGCAGAGCAGAGCTAGACGCAAATACCGCTGTGGTGGTGAGAGCAGCCGCAGCCAGGCAGAGAGACGCTTGAGACGGACGGTGATGCAGACTCGACAGGCGCTGGACTGGGAGACAAGACGGCCAGGTCGCTGCACATGGCAGACTGCAATGCCGTGCCCGTGCTTGTACGAGAAGAACAGCAGTTATGGGTTGGATCAAGTTGAGGTTCGAGGCGGTTATCCAGCGTTAGGTATCAGTGACCTGCACATGGCCCCCCCACAGGGCGGTAAGACGGAACGATGGAGGGGTTCAACGTTCCGGGCAAAAACAGAAACAGCGCCGGCCTTCCAGCGACCCCCGGAAGAGCCCTCTGGAGCCCTCTGGAGCCTCCACTGCAGCGGCCCCCCTATAGCGTGATCGGTTCGCTGTGGCCATCCATAAGCCGCCACGCATGACGCCTGACGTCAATGCAGATGGTGGAATTGACGAGGCAGAGGGCACAAGAAGGCACAAGAAGGCCGTCGTCGCGCCCTTATCGCGGCGTGTGATGCGGGAAGCCTGGGAGATGCATTGCAGGAGTATCATTTCTCATCGGGTACATGTACGAAGTAAGTAGGGGGGGGTGACGTGGTTCTTTGGGCAGTTCAAGCCACAATTGAAGCTGCCGGCTGTTGGCTGGTTCAGTGTTGCTGGCGAGCGTCGTACGTGTAAGGTATGTATATGTACGCTGAGCCTTCGAGTTTTCAGGATCCTGTCGAGGCCAGGCTCTGATACGGAAATACGGAGTAGAAGAGCAGCACTGGAGTTGCAGCATGCATTATCTACCTACCTTATGTACTACAGACCGCGGAGCACAGAACGGGCATGGACCAGTGCGTTGTTAGTCAATGCATGGAATACAGCAGATACTTGATGATCCATCAAGTGGGACAGATGCCCTCGTTTCTTGCATTGGCCCAAACCAACTCCCAGGCGGTTCCCACTCAACCACACTTCAACCTCCAACTCAGCTGCGGCACGGCATCGAATACGAAAGCACGCACATGCATGCATCGACTGCCTCTGTCCCAACAGTTGCAAGACAAGACACAGCACTAACAGCAAGTCGTGTCCCCATCTTCCAGCATCCAGCTAGGACAGCTGCTCATCGATAAAGGCCTCGACATCGTCCAGCTCGTCCTCGCAAGTCGCATGACCCAGTCCGCTGCCCACCACCAAGGTGTAAACCAACAGTTAGCATGACCCGGGACCATTCTCAGCACCACAAGATGCTAGACTATCAGGGTTCAGCAACACTCACGGATATACATCCCACGAGATGGTGAATCCCATCGCCGTCAGCGCATCCCGGCTCTTCTTCGCCAGCGCCAGCGTAACTATCCTGTCTTCCACGCCGTGGCCCAAAAAAATGGGCGTCTCCTTGTTCGCATTCTCCTCGGGAACATACTCCTTGAAGGTGTCGACTAACGGGAGCCACGCCGAGAGCAGCACGATGCCGGCAAGGGTCTTGGGGTACGTCAGGCCGGCGAGAACAGCCGTCGCGCCGCCCTGCGAGAAGCCGGCGAGCAAGATGCGCTCTGCTGGTGTTCCCGCGCTGATTTCGTCCGTGATGAGGCTCTGGATGTAGTCTCTGCTGGCGAAGATGCCGGCTACGTCCTCGTCGGTTTGGAGGGCCTCTGGTGAACCATTATAGACTTTCTGTAGCACTGACACATTAACATTACAGAATCTTAGAATGACATTGATTGGGTTCGTCAAGAAGACGGGGACTTACAATGTCAAACCATGCAGGCATAGACACTCCCGCTTTCTACATGCCACATCAGCCCCCTCGACTCATGTTCTGCCGGCGAACACAGAGCAGACTTACCGCTGTGAAAGGAATCACCGGCGCATACGGGAGCACAAACTTGACATGGTCGACTTGGCCGTTGCCCCTCCAATGCTCGATTGGCCCGAATAGGATCTCTGGGGTGTCACCGAGACCGTGGAGGAAGATGATCGTTGCCGTGTGCTCGGCCAAGGCTTCAATGACGAGGGGGTCCGTTCGGAGAGCAACTGCTTTACCCTTGCCTGACATCATTGGCTATTCTAATAATAGCATTTGATAACAGAGATTGACTCGAACTCGCTGCTGCTTTTGCCGACTAAGTCAAGGGAAGTGACTATGCGGGCCATGGATGGGTGACACGGAACCACACGCGATATCGAGGCTGAGGGCGAGAGTCGATATCATCAACCTCGTGGAAAATCTCCGCTTCGCATGTTTGCCCCTGATTTATACCGAGTCTACGACGACAACTCATCGTTCTAATGCCTGAGACAGCCTTGCGTATGTTGCGTAACCACCGCCAGTCATACGGCGCCAAATAAATGCAGGGTAACCTCCTTGCAGACCGAGACGGAGGACGGCCTCCCGCATAACCCATATGTGTCTGTCTGCTCAACCTCTGTGAACGTGTCCTCCTTGCGTCTTTAGTGAGTCACCAAGCTCTCGATGCTGGCTGTTCTTCGAGCATGATTGCTTTACAATCCAAAGGACACATGCAACGTTGTTGAGTACTCGGTAATATGTAGCAAACCATTCTCACAAGAGAACAAAACCCATGAATACTCCAGCATGTTTGAATAGACTCTTCATCAACAGAAGTAATGTCATATTCGTCTTGGCCATCCAACCCGGCATGACAGTCATCAACATGAACCCTGCCTGAAGATCCATAGCTCTCAACTTGCATCACCCCATCCACCTCCTCCCAGGAACCCGCCAGGAACATGCCAATAGGCAGAGACAAATGTCCAGGGAAGCACATCACTTTCTGCACCCTCCAACCCAGAGATACACCACCCACAAGATCACAAGCCATGCCTCACGCTTTTTCAACAGCATCACCATATCCCAAACCAATCAATTAAACATGCTATTGGCATCCCACTCATTCCCGAATCAAGAGATAAGAAAAAAAAAAAGGAAGATCAAAAAATATACACAGCGATCATCCTATCGCTAGCCCTTCTCCCGTTCCGTCGTAAAAGCCCCGGTGCTTTCCCTCCAAATGAAACGCCACAGAATAGACATTTATGCAGAGCCGACGAGGAGGCCGTTGAGGGGGATGTGTACTGCCACGGCGCGTCTCGAGTTAGCTAAACAGTTGATCTCCTCTAACGGATATTGCTGGGCTGTGGGAGAGATTGGGGGAAAACGTACTCAGCTTGACGATGAATCCGACTGCGCCCATGACACCGAAGCCGATGCCGACGGCCTGGCACAGCTTCAGGAACTCCTTCTGATCGGCTATAGTAAGGAAAAGGCAAATGCGCGTTAGCTCCAGCGACAATGATTCGAGCCGTACAAACAAGCGCCACGTTCGAAGAAAGAGGGAAGATGGGACGTACGCTTCTGGCAGCGGTTAATGAACTGCACGCCGTCCTTGAAGAACTCGCGGGGAACCTCGAGGATCTCCTCAACCTGGTCGGCCATTGTGATTGATTGTTGTAGGGAGGTTTGACGCAACAAGAGGACTTGTTCGAAGGTGCTGAATGCAGCAATTGGTGAGCGTCCGCGTGGATGTTTGGGGGGAGGAAGAGGGATGGTGTCGCAAATGGATTTACAAGAGAACAACGTGGGAGCTGGGCGTTTCTGGAGGAAATCCACAGTAAAATGCCACCTCGCCTCAATGGGCGTGGGGAACCGGGGGTTGCTGTTTGGCCGGGGTTCTGCCGAATGTAAGCTGGGAGCTCTGGGTATCGAGGCACCTTGAACACAATGCCTCTTCGTGTTATCGAGGGAGTGCCTGCATTGCAAGTGCACCAAACTGGTATTTAATGACTGAATCTCTCAAAACCGGAGAGGCTCTACAATGAGTATGGATTCAAATATGTGGATGTTATTCTTCCAAGGTATTCTCTAGTTAAATAGTCAAGATATGGTTGTTTCGGTTCATGCTTTACCATGAACACACCATCCCGAATAATTCAGTGAAAGTGCATACAGGTTTGAAGGAAACCACCGTGATCATGATTGACCCTATTAGAAACTCCATAATTGACTCCTTCATTGGAGACGTTGCCCATGTAAATGCTCAAAATCCAGTCCCTACATGCATACCATCTCCCATGTGAGACAAGATTGCCCAACCTCCAACCAAACACAAACGCCCTCGCAATATCATGTAAACACGAATCCAGACATCCCACAACGCCTCATTCAAATGACAAGACTGGCTTCTCCGCATTACTTGATCCTTGGCGCCGGCAATCACTCGCGCTTCACATCCTTGGGTCCGCAGCGCCATGAACACGCCCGATAAAGAAGAGGCGCCACCAACTCCTCGTCGGTGAATATCCTGGCTCGCGGGGGTCCATCAGCATCCCCAAAGGTGAAGGAGCATTTCAGCAGCTCCCGCCATTCAACCCATTCAAGAGGAGGCACCACGATCGTCTTTCGACAGGTCGAGCAAGTCAAGCCGCCCATGTCCTTCTGCGACGAGGTACGCTGCACCAGCTTCTGGAGGTGTGAGAGACCGTCTGGGATGAGCGAGTCGAGATCGCGAAGGTAGCTGCTACGATAGCAGCTCCGCAGCGCAAGCTCCGTCAGGCTGGGCACGGAGCTGGGCGTCGCCTCCCCCTTGCGCAAGCCAGGAGATTCCTGCGGAGAGACGGATACCGGACCGCCAGACTTTTCGTCGATGTAAACCGCGACGGGCACCCGTTCCTCTGACGGCTCCGGCGCGTCATCCATCGATGGAAGACGGAAGTCTGAGATAACTCTGCCATTGGAGTTGGAGACCTGCAGGGGGGATCGGCCGAGCCAATGGACCATGTAATCGCGCTTGTCGTGGTGCATGAAGAGCCATGAGCGGTTGTGGCTCTTCCCTCCGTTCTCCTCACTAACATCATCCGTTGTGCATGAATTAGGGCATTGTGGCCGCCACAAGGGATTGTAGGTAACGTTCAAGTCGCGAAGCTTACTCCCCGGCTCGACTAAATCCAGGAAGTCGGCAGGGAAATACCTGAGCTTGTTGTGGGAGAGGTTGAGTTCCGTCAAGTTGGTCAGCTTCGAAATGGCCGGGGGCAGTTCTGTCAGCCCATTTGAGCGAAGACTGAGCACCGTAAGGTGCGTAAGGTCGAAGAGAGAGCCGGGCAGTCGCGACAGCTTGTTCAGGGCCAGGAACACCTGCAAGTTTGGCGCCGGCGGTGCAAAGGCCACGTCCTTGGCCACAATGGGGATGGACGTGACCTGTCCGAGGCGGTTGACGATGTCGTCGGAGAGCTCTTCCAAGCCCACGCCCCAGAGATCAACCATCTCGTTGCCCCTGTCGATGCACTCCTGGATCTTCTGTCGCGCCACTATTTCAGGCTGCGACAGTCGAGGCACGGTCCGGGGTGCTATTTGGGGCAGCCTTGGCACGGCCGGGGCTTCCAATCCCTCGATCAAGTCTTCGCCATCCGTGGCGTCGCTGCCCAGGAAGATGCCGCTGTCCAGATCCCTTTTCAGGGAGCGTTTGTTCGGGACGGTGGAGACTGTGCCAGGTCCATCTTCAAAGCTGGAATCTACCGAGTCGAGACGCTGCTGGAACCACGAGCCGACGTAGCGCTTCTTCCGCCTCCCCTCGACATAGTTGTCGAGCCCCGGATCGTCATCGCTGGAAAAGACGGCCGGGTCGCTGGAATTGAACCTCAACGACTGTGGCGACACATGGCTGCGCTTGCGGGACTGAAAGGTGAAGGCAGGGAGGCGCGGCGACGACGGCGGTTCCTCAGACATCTCACCGACAACCTGGAGCACAGACGCGCCAAACAAACAGTCCAAAGGGCGCGGCGAGGTTGCAAATTCCAGCGCTCTCCCTCTCTTAATTCTTATTCTTTGACTTGTTCTGGAAGGACGCAATCCAACGACGTGACAGGGCGATGGAGACGCGCCCAACGCGTTGATCGGGGCCTTGGATGTAAATAACTTGCAGCTGGGGAGCGCTAGTATTACATATCAGATCGAATGCCCCACGCCGGCCTGGACCCCTTGTAGGGTCGCGTGCGGCTGACTGTACTTTGCGATGGCTCCAATACTGATTCTGGCAGATGCCTAGTAATATTGCTGTGTTCTCTCTGCGGTAATGCCGATTCTTTTGCTTTCTGGTGACGTCTCCATCTTCGTGTAAATAGCTCCCCTTTTGGTGGAAAGCTGGAATTGAGTTTGTCCATTTGTCTACTTCAGCATTACTGGTTGGAGCAAGGACCGGAGTGGCGTATAAGTGGTTGGCGCTCGTTAGCAATCGGGTTGCAAATCCCCACGCCATCACATTACGTCAGGCACGGTCCGTAGTATCATGGAGCTGTACGAGACAGCAATAGGGGGCATGCTACCAAGAACAGCCCAGGTCGTCATATTGGCCATTGACCTCAATTATCCACATGTCCCCGATCCAGCCTGTGAGACGACCTTGATGGTACGTTTGGGGTCGATTATATCATAGTAATTTGTGATGATGGTCAAAAACCAAGCCAGGCGTATATGATTTGATGCGAATAGTTTCAACCCCTGGCCGTGTGTAGATAGAGAACCACGAAAAGGCTCTATGATTCGGTGGCAGCAGGAAAAGTCACCGATAGCGGCTTCCACAAGCTAACGGGGTGTACATTGGTGAAGAGGGCCGGACTTGGGACCCTCTCGGCTCTCTCCGGCGAATCCCGTGTCTAGGAAATGAGCGCTGGGTGCGGTATGAGTTGCTGGTAGAAGTAGCTGAGCAAGATAGCTGCGGGCTACCATTCGCCGCCAGACGTCGACTTCGACCAAGGCCGACTCTCTATATATCCCTTGTTCAATCCCAATCGTCATCGTCATCGTCCTGCCCTCTGCCGATATTGCTCGACTTGATACTCTTGCCGGCTAGTCGCTCTTCTTCCGCATCCTCCGCTGCTCTCCTCCTCTTGACAACTCGCAGGTCAGAGTCGGGCACGGCGCCAACCTCAACCAGTAGGTCGTCAATGTGTCGCATGTTGGTTCGGGTGCCTCCTAGGGTCATGAGAGTCACAATCTGCTTGACAATATCCCCCTTGTTGTAGACTAAGATGGTAGGGCAGTTTCGGTCTGGGTAGTTCTCGATGGCCTGGTTCGCCCGAATCTCGCAGAACTTGATGTCGCCATACTCTTTGGCAGCTTGCCTCCAGAGCTCAGACAGGATCCTTGATTCCAGATTCCCCGCAGCGGACGTGAGGTTGACGAAGACGGGGCCGTTGTTGGAAGCTTCTGTGATTTCACGCTGATATTCTGGCTTGGATACGGGGTATACGGAGCCGTGGATGGACTTCTTTTGCAGATTGCTCAGCTCGGCCATGCGCTTCTGGCGATACTGTTCCAGAAAGGCATCATCCTCGTCGTCCTCGAGCTCGTCGAGCTCGTCCAGGTCTTTTCCCTCAAGTCGGTTTTCGTGTGCTAGTCTGCGGGCCTCAAGGAAGGCCTCTTCGATCATGGGAGTCGGACTAGGGGGCTTCTCGGGGATAACGCCATGCTTGCGCAGAATGTCATTCCTATGGAGGGGTTAGAGGCATTGCGCATCAAGCCAAGATCGCGGGGCAGCTTGCCATTCGGTATCCGCGTTGGGGTCGTCGATGGGAACCGCGATTCTTTGCTCTGAGGGCGCAGCCATGGTGGTGATTATTGTCGTGATGTGGTAGACAGAGGTTGAGTCGTCATACAGGCAAGAGGCTATGCTCAGGGACAAGGCCGAGGACAGAGGCGGACAGCTGCATGAACCAACGTACAAGTAGCTTCACCGGACCCTTGACAGCTGGCTTCGTGGGGGCCGCGCAAATCTCCAGGCAGACAAAATAATCGCTGACATCTTTTTTGGCTGCCTGCTGAGTACATAGAAAACGCCCACCTTGCTCATCTTCACCATCAGAGCGGCGCACAGAACCCCACATTTCTCCAGTCGCGGATTCACAGTTTCTAGCGCGATGGAGCTGCAGCAGCTCGGACCAATTGGCTAGGAGGCAAATTGCTGTCACGTGCAGGTGGGCAGTCGAACCCTATCACGCTATTCTTCTTCGGGCGGAAAATTTCCAGTGGCCAGCAACGAAGTCGCCCCCTCAGTGCACCGAACTTTTCCTCGCTTAACTCCCTCCTACTCTCCAGCTTGCGAGCCTTCAAATCCGTCGCCAGATTTCGTCAAGTACTCGACCCTCGCAAGACACTCCACGGCAAATTTTCATCGAGACAATCAGACAAAATGGTGAGCGACGATTCCAACGTTTTTTCGCCCTGGAAGGATGGATCGATGCGATGGGGGATTCCCGGAATGGCGGAGGAGGACTCGCCGCCCGATGAGGCCATCGAAGATTTTTTTCATCTTGGGCCAAGCGCTGGGGGGAGATTCGGATTGAGCAACATCGATGGCGGAACTGGAATAGGGGACACAAGGCGTACGCAGGGAAACAGAATTGCTGACCGATTTTTCATTAGGTGCTCGCTGTCGACCTTCTCAACCCTTCAGCCGCTTCTGAGGCTAAGAAGCACAAGCTCAAGGTACGAACCGAACCGATGTCATCGCGAAGAAAGACATGAGATTCTAACCTTTCGATCATTTGTCTAGACCCTTGTTCCCCAGCCCCGATCTTTCTTCATGGACGTCAAGTGCCCCGGCTGCTTCACCATCACCACCGTCTTCTCCCACGCCCAGACCGTCGTCATCTGCCAGGGATGCACCACCGTTCTGTGCCAGCCTACCGGTGGTAAGGCCAGACTCACCGAGGGCTGCTCTTTCCGGAGAAAGTAAACTGCCTGCTGGGCGGTTTTCTTTCCTTGGGTTCTCATGACTCTTATGGTTATACGGTGGTGATCCTCCTCGGATCTGCAAATCAACGCAACAATCGACGTGGGGGAATAGACAAATATACCTTGCGAAGATAATCAACCTCTTTGCAGATAGAAGATGGAACACCCAACACAGGGGCGTTTGGGGGTCCGGATATCTTGCATGGCACACATCATTCTTCTCGTTTTCCGTTTACGCGCCTGTACCACAGAGTCGTTTTCTTGAGGTCGGAACACAAAAAATAAAGCACTGCATGGGGTCTTGGGCTGGAGAAGCCTTCAAACGAGTGTCTAGATGGATCTGTGATGGACGGACTAGGCGCGATGACGTGGAACCGCTGTTTTGAGGATCGCTTCATACCCGGAGTGCAGTGGGTAGTGGAGGATAGCACTGTGCTTTTGCGAAATTCAAAGGTTTCCACGAACATTGCCGTCTTGTCGCACGCTGATTCGTGATGTGTTGCCGAAATGCCCATCTGTTGTTAATCTGCTGCCCAACTGTCACGATGGAGAGCTGAATGAGCCAGCCCCAACAAAGAAGGCACTCAATGAAGGCTTACATCTGTTCACTGGACTGTCATCTGTATCTCGCGGAGGAACCAGACTTATCATGGTCAATGAATTGAATTGCATTCATGTGAAATGTCACTGCATGGAAAGTCATCTTGTGATGCCTAGCTGGATCCTTGGTCGCGTGTGCTGTTGTGGCCTTCTTATATCATGCCGCCACTAGTCTGTTGTGATTGTACTATGGCGAATCAAGAACTGGAAAGAATGAGCTATTGAAATACAGCAATCTTCCCAATCTGAGAGCCTGTGGCCTTCAAACAGTTGCTAGAAATCTAATCGGACAGATGCAAGGCAGAATTGGCCGTCCAATCCCATGGCAGGCTTTATATTCCGTTCTGTATAACGACGCCTTACAAGTAGTCATCCGGTTGACAACGGCAATACCTTTGTACTACCAAGCTTTTCAATGCAAGAGATAGATACCTCGTCCCTCTTAAAGAATATGTGTCATTTAGATGCCATGCATGCATGGAAGGCTTGATCACAGGAGCACTGCCTAAGTACATGTTCAATTAGGCTTCGACAACCAAGATCCTGGCCGGTGTCACCTCCTGTGCGTCATACGGCTTCTAGAAGCCAACAGAAGAGTAGAATTTCCATGAAATATGATGCCTGAATTCCACTTGCGTCTGACCCCGTATTGCCCCCCCTACGTATACATACTCCGCAGGAATGCACAACGTAAGGCAACCAAGCTAATCAACAGCAGGGTTTCTCTCTTGAAACTGAAGTCATCACGCATCCAAGCTGACTCATCCCCCTCCCAGAAAACCACTTAACGCGAAACCGTCGCGCAAATGACGCGCCTCTGCCTCTTTCTCTCAGAAGCCCAGCAAACCTAAAAGAAAAGCCCCACGCCGATATTCTCCAAGGCTGTTAAGCCCCAATCTTCTCGTTACCCCAGCATCCCTCCCAACCTCTTCTCTCCTTTTTGCTCCAAAAATTCCCATCTCTTTACCTGCACGATCCGAGCCCACCAACCCCCTTGTCCCCTTTTTGCTTTCAATTGCGAATCAGAAAGCTCTCCACTCTTCGTCATTGCACATCGACGTATTTTTGTGCAACGCATTGCATAGCTCGGATCGCAAACGGAAGTTTGTTTATCTTCGTTCATCAAGCCGGAATTGGCCAATTTTAGCTTTCGGAGGCGAAAAACAAGAGGGAGCTCCCCCTCAACCAGCTCCTCAACTCGACACCCCAAAACCATCGCAAACCTCCCCATCCAATCCATTGCGCTTCCAACATTGAATCGCGTCAACCCTCTCAACAAACATTCTCTTCATCAAAAAAATAATTGCAGACAAACTCCTCAGTCCTGACTCACCTGCCACAACTACCCAACGCTCCCCACCATGTCAACCCCCCGCAACAAGCGCCAATTCGCCGGCGCATCAGCCGATCCCACCCAACGCCAAATCACATCCTTCTTCACCACGAGCGGTAATACCAGCAGCAGCAACAACAACAGCGCTCCCGAGCCCGCTCTGCGAGGACCCGTCCTGCCGGCCAACGTCCAGGCGAACCTCCTCAGCGTGGGCATGCGCGTGCGCAAGTCCGTCCCCGAAGGCTACAAGACGACGACGACCAAGTCCTCCGACATCCTCGTGTGGAACGACGCAAGGTCCGGCGGTGCGCCCGGCACCAAGACGGTAGCGACGAGGCCCGTCGGGGCGAAGGAACTGTTGCCGTTTTGCGGCATCAACAAAGTTGGTGGGATGGACACCCAGCCTGGACTCGGGTATGATGGGTACGATGAGGAAGATGTTCCTGCTTTGGATCAGGTTCCCGAGCTCAGCATGTCGCAAGAGAGCACAGACAGCGTCGCCGAGAGCAGCGGGCCTACTCGAAAGCGCTTCTTTGATGAGCAGGACGAAGATGTGTCCTTCTGGGATGGCGAGGGAGATGGCGCCGGCAACAACAACAGTAGGACCATTGCCGTTCCACACTCCCGGATGAAGAAGCCTTCTGCCACGCTCAAGGCCGTCGTCGATCAAGAGAACATGGTTCTGGATGATGATTTCGAAGACGCCAATTTCCTGGTCTACGATTCGGAAAAGTCCATGGACATGAGTGTCTAAGACAGATTGTTTCACAGGAGAGGAAAGGGAATCTTTGGCACCGGGGTGGTTGTCTTTGCATATGATTTTTTGAGCTTCGGCGCAGTGGCGTTTATTCAAGGTGCGGCTCAGTCAGCTGCTGTGACTCTCGAAATGGAGGTCTCGTGTTCTTGTTTTATCTGTTTATACTTTGGTCTGATCAAAGGGATGGTTTTGGAATCATTGTCATACTACTGGGTTGTATCATTGTCACAACTTCATGGGGGGCTTATACTCCCGTAGCTACCTTAGGTAGTATCATCTCAGGGCGGCAAGATATATCATCAAGCATGCCGACTAAATACAAGAATCTTACACGAATTGTCGACACGTTACATACCTACAAATGGCTCTCGGAAGTCGAGCAGGTCTCGCTGGCCATAGAACTCACCAGCCACCGTGAGGATCATGGTAAGCGTGGCTCTCATATTCATCCTCGCATCTCTCCGCTCCTCTTCCTTGCGCCGTTCGCTTTCGCTCTCGGCGAGCCTTGCCAATAGCCTCTGCTTGGCTTCCTCTAGAGACGTGGCTTCGTCCGGCTGCTCGGTTACCTCACCCTCGTCGGCGCTGGAATCAGAGGCCGTGTCCATAGCCACGTCCTCATCCTCGTCCTCGCTGCGATGCTGGGCCCCCAGGATCTCCCCCTCGTCAACGCCTTCAGCGCCTTTGTCATCTTCTCCAGCGGGTATCATAGTTTTTTCATCAAGGGCATCTGGAATGGGCGAAGATGAGTTTCTGCGGCGGCGTGCGACAGCTGGTGGGTCGGTCGTCGTGACCTTGGCTGCTGGAAGAGCGCCGATGTCGTCATCCCTTTCTTCCTCCCCTTCTTCGATAGTCTCTGCAACCACTTCTTCATCACTGCTGCTAGCATCAACATTGTCATTGACCCCAAACCCAGTATCCGCAAGCTGCTCTCGGAGAGCAGCCATTTCCGCCAGACTTCTCCCCAGCAGCACTGCGCGTCTGCCTAGGTCGCGAATCCAGCTGATCTCGGCGTGGTTGAGCTCCCCCATGGCCGGCAGCCTGGCCAGCAGTGCCCAGAGCCACTGGCTTGTTCTCGGAGGAATGCTGTATCCGCTTCGAAGGAACTTGCCGCTCATCATGACGCGTAAAATCTTCAGAACCGTGTCTTTGGACATGAGTGCGACTTGGACGGGATGGGGATCGGTTGTTTTCAGGAGGCGGGACCACAGCGTGATGGTAGAGCGCCCAAAGGACAAGGCCTCGGTGGCTCGAGAGCGTGATAGCCGGCGTACGGCACCGGCGGGAGGCTCCGTGTGAAGGATTTCGCGGAGGTGGTAGTACTGCTGCAGTATAGAGGCAAAGTACGCTTCGTCCACTGCCTTTTGGATGGCTTCAGGGTTCTCGTCATCAGGCACGCCATCCTGGTCGGCGCCGCTGCCTCTCCATCCGTCTGAAATGCCTATGTAGGCACCATCTTCGTAAAATCCGTTCGATTCAGGTGCGTCAAAGGCGTCGCTTGCTTGAAAGCCCTCCTTCATCTCGCCGTCTTCCTCCGACTCGTCTTCTTCTCTATCGAAGCCGGGAGGCAGCTGTGGGCCAATCTGGACTGGTGGTGCAACCAGGAGGTGTGGGATGGAATAAGCTTGCTGTCTGTAGTACTCACCATATCAGTAAATGCGGTCTGAGGATTCAAAAATTTGTTCAGCAGATGCAATCTCAGGCTGCAGAGGAGATGAGTATCTTACCTCACAGACATCAGATATGCCATGGCATCTGCGTCGTCCTCAAACTCCGATTCCTCGCCTTCTGGAATCGTCGTCGCATTCTCGCTGCTGGAAAAGACGTATTTCTGGCCCCAGGTGGGATCGATGCCCGAGTGCTGGTGCTGGCGCGTCTTGGAGTTGCTCGTCTTTGCGCGTTTCGTCTGCGGCTCTGGCGTATCGCCGTCTGTATCCTCGACTTCCCGTTTGGCAGACATGACGCCTACGCACACAGTAGGGTGTTGGGGCTCATTGGCGATGCTTTGGAGCAGTAGCGCGACCAGCTGCAGGAAAGAGAATGTATCCAAACGTGCTGTGCTATGGCCAAGGCGATGGTTCAGATGATGATGTACTGGAAAAAAAGTCCAGGCTGAGGAAGAAGGGCTGTGCTTGGAGCTGGAGGATTATAGTGGGATTTACAGTTAGTGCCTGGCACTAACGCGGGGAGCTTCCCGGGCAATTGGACCCCACCAACCCACCAAGAGATGCCGCGACTTTAGCATTTGACATGACATTCGCACTTCAACTTTTTCTGTCTCTGCGTGGACTCACCTACAACATCTCACGACGCCTTCATGGTTTGAAGCCAACAATGACGGCGGCTCTTGTTCGCCGTACGGCTCTCACTCATAATAGATGGACTGTGAGGCATAACCGCTCCATTGGCCAGTGGCCTCCACGGCGGTCACAGAGCACCTTCAACCACTTTGTGGCAAGCAGTTAGTTCTCCAGATTGGACACGCAGAGTTTCAACTTTGAACTGACAGACGTCAAACAGCCAAGCTCCAGCCAAGCTCTCCACCGCCGCAGCTAAAGTCCGATGCGAAGCCTTTTAGACTTGCCGTCAAGGACAACATCACCACGGAAGAGTTCCCGACGCAATGCGCCTCGGGCATCCTAGGCCAACATGCCTCTCCCTTCGAAGCCACGATTGTGCGCCAGCTCCGGGCACGCGGGGCATCTATAGTTGGAAAAACGAACATGGATGAGTTTGGCATGGGCTCGCACTCCACGCACTCCATTCACGGGCCGGTCCGAAATCCCTTGGCGGCCACCGGCGAGGATGTGTCCGCGGGAGGCAGCTCCGGAGGCAGTGCGGTGGCAGTTGCGGTTGGCGATGCAGATGTTGCGCTCGGCACGGATACGGGTGGCTCAGTCAGGCTGCCGGCTGCGTATACTGGCATTGTTGGGTACAAGCCCAGCTACGGCATGCTCTCGAGGTTCGGCGTTGTGCCGTACGCAAACTCATTGGACACTGTTGGCTTGCTTGCGCGAGACGTCGAGCTCATCCGGAAACTGGTGTTCGACACGGGGCTGTGCGAAGAACACGATCCCAACGATCCCACCTCCTTGAGTGTCGCGACCCGCCAACGCTGTTCCAAAGCGTCCTCTCCAAACATCTCGGACTTGTCCCAGCTTACCATTGGCATCCCCGTCGAATACAACATCGCCGAGCTGGACCCTTCCATACGTGAGGCTTGGATTGCTACGGCCTCAGCCTTAGAGTCACAAGGCGCTCGTGTAGTTCCGGTATCTCTTCCTTCAACAAAGGAAGCCCTCTGCGCATACTACATCCTCGCCCCGGCCGAGGCGTCCTCCAACTTGGCCAAATACGACGGAGTGCGATACGGCATTCGCGGGTCTGAAGGAGATGCCGCCGGAGAAACCCTCTACTCCGAAACTCGCGGCGCTGGCTTTGGTGCCGAAGTCAAGCGCCGTATCCTCCTGGGAACCTATAGCCTCAGCTCCGAAGCCATGGACAACTATTTTATCCAAGCGCAGAGGATACGCCGGCTCATCCAGCGGGACTTTGACAGAGTCTTCAAGCTGGATAACCCGCTCTACGAACCCAGGCAGTTTGACCTGAGCGAAATGTCTTCCGATACCGCTCTCGAAGATAAGCAAGGGCCTGTACAGGTTGATTTCTTGCTGTCGCCGACTGCGCCGACATACCCGCCCAAGCTGAGCGATATTCAGAAGCGCAGCAGCGTCGATGTGTACATGAACGACGTCCTTACTGTTCCGGCCAGTCTTGCTGGTCTGCCTGCCGTTAGTGTTCCGGTCAAGATTGACCAAGGCCACCAATTCCCTGCTGGACTCCAGTTGATTGCACAGTACTGGGACGATAGAAGATTGTTGGCGTTGGCAGACAAGGTGGTGAAGCTAATGGCGGCATGAATGCATCGCATTTGTATTATTTGAAAGGACTTGAACGGGCAAGTGTTGGCTGTTAGATTTGGCTTGTATTATATTGATGATAATCTCTTTTGGCCTGGCACCAGTGAGCTTCGCCATAGTAGATAGCCATGGGCTATTGGATTTGCTCTCCTTCTCATCCTTATTCTTTAACAGACGCAAACGAGGATGACCCGCATTCTTCGTCAGGGGGCTCCCAAGCCTGCTTGGCTCGGGAGGCTAGACAGACTGCTTGCTACTGCAACTTGGAGGCTTCTGCTCTTTGCAAACCGTCTCCAGCAGTGGCTTGAGGGTATATCTGGTCGTCTCTCAATAAGCGGCCTCATTCGCGGCTGGTGGCGATGATGTTGTGTAGCCCAGCATTGGAGACGATCTTGAATTGTCGTCCCGGTCGCAGTGCTTCGATCAGTTATTCCAGACTTGAGCAACGCAGTTCAAGGCGACCTGCTGCGACTCCTCCGCTCTTCGCCGCGGTCCATATCCACATCTCCCCTGTCCGAAACCTCGCCGGACTCTTCCCTCTCGCCATTCGCTTCGTCCCGATCATCATCCCCGTTTTGCTTTTCTCCCTTCTCCTCCTCCTCCTCCTCCTCCAGCAAATCCTCCAAGTCACCCAGCGGACTGACCCTCGGCTCCAAAATCTCCAGATCCTCCAACGTCTCCCTCTTGGGCATCTTCCACAGACTCGTCGCACACACCCTGTCCTTCGTGAGCAAGTCGTCCACAAACTCGTCCACAAACGTCAACGTCGTCCCCGTCCTCGCCTTCCTCCGCAACTTCCTCCTGTCCTCGAGAAAGGGCTCCAGCGTCAGGTACACGTCCTTGGCCTGCCTCGTGAGCCGGACGTAAAAGCACGCCAGCGCGCGCAGGTACTTGAAGTGCTCGCCGCCGTACGCGAGGTACTCGTGCAGGATCGCGTCGCTGGGGGCCAGCTCGAGGAGCTTGAAGGCGAGGCAGAGGAACGGGCTGGGCTTCTGGGAGGCGCCGTGGGTGCCGCCGATGAAGTTGACGTGCTCGACGACGCGGTCGACGATGTCGGCCTCGTTGAGGGCGAAGCACTGCTCCTTGTAGAAGTAGGAGTCGACGATGCGGTCCTTGACGGCCTTTTCCATGATGGTGGCGGGGTTCAGGCCGTTGGGGGCGAGGGCGGCGTTGGAGCCGCGCTCGTCGAGGAAGCGCCGCGCATCGGCTTGGACGGTGTCGGAGTTGTGCTTCGACATGGCTCGACGTTGGAAAGGGGTATTTTGATCGGAGGGAGAAATAGAGCAATTGGGGGGCACGATGACGTCGGAGGATGGTTGGATTGAAAGTTGTCGCAAGAATCGCGTTGGAAGTTCACGATTTGGCGGCGATAAGATTGTTGCCGGGTCAACGTTGATCAGCGCAACAACTGCAGATCTTCGGGCGTTGACGTCGTGTGAGATCCCGTCTTCTTGTGTTTCCAAACCCGTGTCTCGCAGCAAACAAGTCGAGCTTTTGTCTCGTACGAGTTACCGATATTGCTTGTTTTGTCTAGATTACACCAATTCTGAATATTATTATCTCTTATCATCTTTTTTTGCCGTTTTTTTTTTTTTTTTGCGATACCCTCAATTATGCGTCGTGTTCTCCTCACTTCGAGTCAGGTGTCCGTGCTGGCCACGGCCGCGATGAGTAAGGCTGCCTGCATCTTCCTCCCAAGCACGTAAAAATATTCCCAATGAATTGTTTGATCTGACTGCCAAATACACGTGTAACAGTCCTTCTCTGCACAAGCGCTCTTTTTCTGAGCGGCTACGCTATTCAGCAGCGCACGCTTCGGGAGCTGCGCGCTGCTATCCGGCCGCGCGAGTCCCCCAAGGCGCATCTACCCGAAGAGTTCAGGGGCGCGCTGACGGACATTGAAGAGAGCCAGCTGCTGGTGGTGGAAACGGAGGCCCAGCGGTGGTCGAGGGAGGCTCGCGGGCTGGTGCCGCCGCAGAGCCATGTTTCGGACGCGGAGATTCAGGTGGAAGACACATTGGTAGAGGGTGTTGAGTCCAAGCCCGAGCCCGAGCCGGAGCACAAGCAGCGGAAAGAGGAGGAGGAGGAGGAGCAGCAGCAGCAGCACAAGGTTGCCGTGCCCGGTGGAGAGCCGACGAAGGAGCAGCTGGCTATGCTGGACGCGATTCAGAAGAGCGTTGCCGACAAGTCGTGGGCTGTGGAGAATCCCGATCCTCTGTCGAAGAATAAGGCGCCTATTTCGAGGGCTGAGCGCCGCAAGATGATTAAGGAGGAGATTCAGAGGCTGGCTCAATCGGATAAGCCCGTCTACTACCAGAGGAGGTTGTGGTGAGTGGGTAGATTGGGAGATAGTAGGTTCATTGTGCTTGGTTGTCTTTGCCTGGGCTCGTGTTTTGCATTTGGGATATACTACATGGATGGCGATATAGAATTCTATGGCTGTTTCTGGAGGAACGGAGTACATACACGAATTTTGTACATGGGAACTGGATATATCATAGTTGTATTATGGCTTGGACATATATGCTGGGCTCTGCTGCTGATAGCTTGGCTCTATATCTGTATTGTACCCATGGGTTACATATCCAACATGAGACTGATTGACTTGGAAATATACGACTTCGTGGGGAGATTTGGGAGGAGTGGATGCGGCCTTAGAGGCAGCTGTGGCATCACTATGGGGCGCCTTGAATCAAGGACATGGTGAAGGATTTGGAGGGGCCTACTCATCCATCTTTTTCGACGGCTAAGTGTGTTCGCAAGTAGGCTGAAGGAGGCGTGCTGGGAGAAATGACGAGTGATGAGTGGCATATGAGTATCTTCTGAAGAATGGCATGTTACACAAGAAGCGTTGTATCATCTATTCCAATCATTAATCGTAAATCACATCTCATGATATCGTAGCAGCCGCCTGCTGCACCTCCAGCTCCCTCTTCTCATCATCAACCTTCCCCCGAGCCTCATCATCCCCCACAATCGTAACATCGTCCTCCACCTCGGCCGTCCCAAACCGCCAGGCAGTAACCTTCTTCTCAAACAGCACGTCCATCTCTCCATACGTCCGGCCCCTCGTCTCCGGGACCCGGAAGATGGCCCACACAGTCACCAGGAAGCTGATGCCGAACCAGACAAACGCCGTCTTGCCCTTGAGGTTCGCCTCGGTGGGGTTGATCAGGTACGGCTCGATGGTGTTGTCGACGATGTTGACAACGTTGTACACGACGCCCGCAATGGAGAGCGTCTTGGCCCGCACCCTCGTCGCCGAGACTTCAGAGGCAACGGCCCACGTCTGCGGCCCGATCGTCGCGGAGTACACAGCCAGCCAGACGAGCGCCAGGGCGGACTGCCCCCACTTGGCAGCGGAATTGTCGGAGGCGTAGGACAGGACGCCGATGAGGAGGAGGTCCAGCGTCAGGAACGAGTATCCGGAGAGCAGCACGGTGCGCCGGCCAAAGTGCGTCATGAGGACCCAGGAGACGCAGGTCGCCACGAAGGCGATGCCCATGTTGCCAAAGTTCATCTTGTAGGCGTCCGAGGCGGAGAGGCCGGCCTGCACGAAGAAGTAGGTCGCGTTGTACGCCAGCGGCTGCCCGATCAGGCTCTGGGACGCAAGCGTCAGGCAGGCGATTTCGGTGCGTCGCAGGTTGGCGCCGGTGAGACAGTCCCAGTAGCTCACGTCCGTCTTGAGCTTCTGCTCCAGCCGGTTCGTGTCGCGCATCATGAGGACCTTGTGCTGGATCTGCTCGTCGGTGAGCCCGCGGGAGAGTCGCTTCAGGGAGTGCGTCGCGTCTTCGATGCGGCCCTGTCGGATGAGCCACCACGGAGAATCGGGGGCGAGCCAGGCGAGGATGAAGAGAGGAACGGGCCACACCCACTCCACGGCAAAGGGGATCTTGTACGCCCACTTGGTGGTGTTGTTGACGAGCCCCTGCAGGATGCCGGCGACGATGAGCTGGCCAATGACCCAGCAGATGTTGATAAACGAAGTCATGTACCCCCTGAGCACAAGAGGACAAATCTCGGACGAATACACGGCCCCCATGATGGAGAAGACGCCCCAGATAGCCCCGAGGAGGCACTGCCCGGCGAGCAGCACGCTCGCGTTGGGCGCGAAGAAGGGGATGAAGATGAGGCCGGTCATGATGGTCAGGGCGACCATGGTGACCCTGCGGTGGCCGAAGCGCTCGGTGACGAAGCCGTTGATGACCATGCCGAGGACGCCGCCGCAGGAGCCCGCCGTGCTGAGGCCGACCTGCCAGGGGCCGGAGATGACCTTTGCGCCGAGGTCGGGGTGGTAGGTGCCGTATTTGTCGACAAAAGAGGGATAGGCCATGAGGCTGCCCATGAGGATTGTGTCGTAGCCCACCATGACTTGTTTTGTTGCACCTTGTTAGGAGGACATGTGCTGCTATTGAAAGTAGATGACATCTAATGGGGTTAGAACTTACCGATTGTGAAGGACATTGCGATTGCCCAGAAGATGGAGCTGGGATACCGCTTGAGGGCCTCGCGGACGGTGGTTGCGTGCTCGTCTCTGTTGGCGCTGGCGACGGCCGCGGTGATGGCCGCTGCCTCTGAAGTGGGAGGAATCGTCGCCTCCATGGTGGAAGCCTTTGCTGAGTGAGACTCGTACCGGGCTGAGTTTCGTTGTAAAGGTGAGGGCGAGAGGAAGAGGAAGAGGAAATGTGAGAGTGAAGCCGTGGAGAGACAGCCTCGACTGATTCAACTCCGTAGCCAGGCTGAGACTTCAATGTCTTATCCTGTCTCACAGGGAGCGGCTCGCAGTAGTAACCCCGACTCTGCTTTTAGTCTGTCCTTTCACGGGCATGACGAGACTCTTTTATTTCTTGTCCTGCTAAGAATCCAGCATTTTTCCTGTTGGATCTGGCCGAGGCCGTAGCTTATAAGAGTACATGTGCTATTGATTCCTCCCACAGCGGGTCCTCGTCGTCGGTTTACACTACATGTAGTATCTTGGTCACCTCTTGTAACTCCGGGGGCTTGCTGATAAATCCCGACCACAATCTTACGCATTCTCTTTGTATGACTACCTACCTTACCCAGCCCTGGCTCTTACACAGACACTTGATAAGAAATGGGAAATAGTATTGCAACATTCTGAGGTGGATACTCGAGAGTGTTTTTCCCCTACCGAAAAGAAAATCAGGACGATGTAACGGACATTGAAAGCAACAGGGCCGGATTTCACCAAGTCTTATAACGGATGGAAGAGTCCAGAACTTGAAGGAGTGCAAAAGTGTGGCCCATGCATGCAGCCAGATCTGGAGATGCTAGCGAGGAGGATCGGGGCTGAACAAGTGGAATCGGTCTTTACTAGATGTTACTGGATGATCGTGAGCAAGACGATCTGCCGTAGTGATGGTCTGAAGTTGTTATTTGCTGCTGTGAAGCCAATATCTTCAAGTAATGCCATCTCAACTCCCCTCTGTGTTACAGTGGTAGTATAAGCACTTACACGTACATCTGGCCGTTGTTGCTTTTAATGTCATGATGCATTCCTGTTTCACTTCTCTTACAGCATGCATCTCACTCCACTGAAAACCCAACACCTTTGACCAAATCGCCCTTGTTGTAAAACTCACAACCCGGCATCATCTCTCCCACCACCCACCGCGCCGTCTTCGCATGCGTCGAACCATGTCCAAACGGCTCACCCGTCTTCTCCCTCCTCATCCTGCTGCCCTCTCCAACATGCAGCTCCCCCATGGCATCAATCAGCGGGCCCAGCGCGCCGCCGCCGCCGCCGCCGTCCAGAGACGACTCATCGACGCCGTCGTCATCGCGGGGAAACGAAGAGTGGCCCTCGCACAGCGCCTGGAAGCAGATCAGCTGGTCCTGCAGATGCTCGTCCACCTGCCCTCCCAACGACACCTCGCCGTGTAGCTCCTTGCACAGCTTCTTGCTGAGAAGCGCAATGAAGCGGTCGTAGCCTTTGCTCTTCTTGGGCGCCGATGTGAGGACGTCTTTTGCCCAGCGGATGCCGTCCGCGGAATGAGCCACGAGGAGAACCGACCAGCGGGCGTCGCTGCAAGAATCCTCGACTGTTTTGAAGCTGATGTCGGCACCGGGCCACAGAGCACCAATGTCGTGTGCTATCGTCTCCTGAAGCTTCTCGTGTGAGTGCATCGGCGCGATGATGCTGACATCAACGCTCTTCACCTCGAAGGAGTCGGGGAAGGTATGCCGCGGCGGAGGCGCAAACCTGAGCTTCTCGCCTCGGGCAATCGGCCACACTTTGAGCACAATCGATCCCCTTGACAACGGGCCGAGCGACCAGCCACGGCTCTTGAGCTCCCGTTCGATACGCACGCCGAAGCGTTCCTCCAGCGTCGGCGCCAATACCTGGTCGAAATATTCGTAGCTCGGCGAGAAGGAGACGTTTGTGCCTCCAGAGAATTCCACCACGCTTGGTTCGTCATTCGTTTCCGCGCTCGCAAAGAGCAGGAACGGAAGCATGGCCTGGAGGACGAGAAGCGTGCTGGATGCTCCCGACTCGGTCCTGATGGAAATGTTCCGCTGGAAGAGCTGTGACGGGGGCCGTCGGGGGGTGAACGTCACTGATTTGGAGCCGACGCTGAGGCCTTGGACGTCGGCGTCGGTGACGCGGGCGAGCCATTCGATGGCAGCCACGTGCTGGTTCTTGAGGCCTGACCTCGACTTGTCAGAAGTTGTCTGGTGTCCAATATCATAATGAATCTGAATGCCTTTGAGGTACTGGGGCAAGTCATGTAAGTGAAGATGGTTGATGAGACGCACCTCCACCGCGCGGCCGGTTGCCTCGCACATTGGTGATCTCGACGGGCTGCGAAGTGAGTGCCGCCAAGGCGATTCCCAACCGTACAAGCTGGCCACCGCCTTCCCCTGTGCGGCCGTCGAGCACAATGGGTTTTGCTTTGGGCATTCTTGGTGTTTTTGTGTGCTGGTTCCGAGATGTGATGTGAGATGTGATGTGCGTTGCAGAACCAACTGCGCCTGCTGCTATTGCTGTCGTCAGCCTGGCAAAACAGCTTTGCTCGTTTGGTGTAGAGATTGAAGTGAAGGCTTCGGTGATATCCTTTTTTTTTTTCTTTTCATATTATTGTGCAGGCTTTTGTTCAATATTTATATCGACTGTTCTTGTTCGTTTAGAATTGCATCTGCACAGCCGCTTCTAAGCCCCAGCCAGACTCGGGGCCTGTGAGTCACTCGGCAGAACCGCATCTTAGATCTGACCCTTTTCCTCAGAGCCATCGCATCGTCATCACAGGCACACAGATTCTGGCCACAGGGGTGAAATTATTAAATTGCATTTTCTGTCACTATCACCTGGTGCTCTTCATCTACCAGGTAACATGAATAACTATCTGCGATTATTAAACATCAAGGGGGGACTCCATGATTTGTTTCCTTACTTTTCGGGAGACGGGAGCAATAACTGAAAGCGACATCCTACAACTACAGCTACAGATGACTACATAAGATACATGTACGTAATGTAGGTACTCAGATAGCTCAAGCGATTGTGATACATCCGCATAACCACCTGCGTTCACTGTCAACGTCAACAATCACAACTCTTCTTTACCTTGCCTGCCAACCTGCTCAGCTCGGCGATAAAACGGCGGCAAGGGCTCCAACTTCTGCCGCAGCACCCAGACTCTGAAATGCCAAATGGCATTCTTGATCTGATAGCTCGTGTGCTTGCGCGTGCTCACCCCAAAGACATAGTCCAGCTCCTCCAACGTAAGGGCCTTTGTCTCCGGAACGAACAGCAGGATGAGGAACCACAGGACGGCACACCAAGCCGCGTACCACCCAAACGCGCCCTGCGTAGTGAAAGCCCTGGAGATGGACGGCCAGGTGAAGGAGAGGATGAAGTTGAAGCACCAGGTCGTCGCGGTAGCCCACGACATGCCCACGTCACGGACATGCACGGGGAAGGCCTCGGCCGAGTAGGTGAACGGCACCGGCCCTTCGCCCGGGGAGTAAAACACCTCGAAGAGGTACATGCCCGTCGTGACCATGCCGACTCTCGTCTTGGTGTGGCCGGCGTCGTTGGGGATGAAGAAGGACATGCCGGTCCACAGCAGGAAGATGCAGAGGAAGGGGAAGGTGAAGAGCAGGAGGTTGCGACGGCCCCATCGGTCGATGGTGAAGACGGCGGGGATGGCGAAGACGAAGTTGAGGATGCCGGTGCCCATGGAGGCGAGGAGGGCCGAGTTGGTGGAGTAGCCCGAGTCTACGAAAATGGTTGTGCTGTAGTAGGCGATGATGTTGACTGCAATACAGGTCAGTTTCGAACATCATCACTCAGTAGGGAAAACGTTTGATGTTTCTTTTACCTCCACAGAATTGCTGCCCAAACATGAGAATCCATGTAGCCCATGTGGCGCGACGATTCCTCGGAACGGTGAAGAGCTCGGCAAACTGGGTAAAGAGGTTCTTGCCCCTATTCACTTCACGCTCGAGCTCTACTCCGACATATGTGTAGTACGTGTCACGAGCGGCTTGGACGTTGGAGTAGCGCAGGCGCTGGAACGATCTAAACGCCTTTTTGACCTTGCGGTGCTGGATATACCAACTGTGCGCGGTGTCAGTAAAGTGTATACAGAAATTGAGATATGGTAGTATTTGAATATCACGTACCGAGGTGATTCAGGGCAAAAGTAGACCTGTACACAGACAATCAGGGGCAAGACGACGGTGCTGCCGAGCATGAGACGCCAGCCGAGCGACGGGTCGATGCCCGTCGAGGGACCAAAGGCGACGCCCATGATGTTGCCCAGCATGATTCCGAAAGCAGTCCACATCTGCCATTCTGTTGCAAAAGCCGGTCAGCTAACTTTTTTTTCTCATTGCAGCTTTTGAAAGTGGTATGAAGGAACAAACTTACGCATGACCAAGGCACCTCGGATCGGCGCAGGGCTACATTCAGCAGCATAAACAGGAACAGTCGACGACTTGGGTCCGATGCCGAGACCGAGCACAAACCGAGCGAGGAACAGATTCACCCAAGAGTTGGCGACGCCCTCCCAGATGGACGCAACCGCAGCAATGAAGCACGAGAGGAAGATGGTTCCTCTCCGCCCAAAGACTCTGTTCAGGGGCTCCGTCAGCCAGCAGCCGAGGATGGCGCAGCACAGGTACGGGGCGCCGACGACGAGACCCGTGATGTTGTCCTGCATGGACTGCGAGAAGCGCGTCACATTGGGCCCTGCAATGTCGAGATCGGCGAGGTACAACGCCTGCGCGCCATTGTTCACCGTCTCGTCCATGCCCTGCACGGCCGCGGCCATGGAACACATGCAGCAGAGCCAGTAGAGCATCCACGGATGCGACCAGCGATGCGTCTGCTCCCGCTCAATGACCTCCCTGTCCTCGGGGGACAGCTCCTCGAGCGAGTGGATGGATTCCGGGTTCTGGGCGGCCAGGGCCCCCTTGCGGAAGTCGTCGAGGTGGTCGCCGAGCTCGTGGATGCGGCAGAACTCGTCGACGTCCTTGAGGAGCTCTTCTTTGGTGCGCTGCTTGAGGGGGTTTTCGAAGACGGCGGCGAGGTTGTCCGTGTTGCTGAAGAGGCTGCGCCGGCGGGCGTGCTCGACGGTCTCGGTGCCGGCGCCGTCTTGGGAGACGAAGCCGTCGGATTTTTCCATGGTGTGAGAGGTGGATGATTGGACTCCGGGGATGATGAAGACGAAGATGTCAAGCTGAGAGGCAAGGACGATGAGATATGCTGTGCTCTCAAGCTAGGACTCTCAAGAAGGTGTGTATCCTGATGTTGATAGAATGAATAGCTGCATTGGCATCCCTATCCCCAGAGGTAGGTGTACACTCGAGATTGTGCTTGAAGAGCTTCAAGCAGAGAACTTGGAGCACTATTACAACGTCATATCACAGGGGCATCTCAACTTTTATGTACGACAGGCGGACGACTATATGTACGAGGCAAGAGGATACTCCTCACTGTTACAATTCCATTCTTCCCCGTATCACCTTGCATAACAATCCCCTCCATCCTTCACGTCGGGGGGGCGTCAAGCCACCAATCCTAGCCCGAGCAACTCTTGCAACTTCTCAGCCTTGCCCGCCATTCCGCGCCGATCACCTCGTGAAGTGCCATCCCAGGATCGCAAACCTTGTCTTGCTCGGGCTTACCATTGGGTTCGTCTGCGTGTTCCCCTTGGTTCCCTCCACAAGACACACCGTGCTTCGTGGTGAGGTTGTGTACTGTAGGGGAGCATCTTCACCTTATAGAGCTTGGCCTTGCTTGGCCTGCTTGAGAAATGTCGTTGCCTGGAGGTATAAAAGCGGATCTTGTCCCCTTGTTCTCCTTGTCTTGAAAGTCGTGTGCTTCCCACGAGGCACCTCTTTGACCCACTGAGACTGGGGAAGGATCTGGGGAAGCTTGGAGGAGGGAGAAGCGATATCAGGCGGTTATGACTTCATTGTCGACAACGGCCGCATTTCTCTGCTAAACGGCTGTTTCTTTATGAAGGGGGGGGTTGTTCTCATCCCCACAACTCCCACGAACAGCAAACGGTGCCATTTCAGAGCAATCCGGCGCATCGACTATTGAGTCCTCCGTTCAAAGCAAAAGCGAAGCGATTCTTGCGGGCTATTGCTGACCTCCTTCTCGTCGGGGTTTCCAAAGCCGGCGATTCCAGTGATGTAATTGCGCCCAAGAAGCCCTGCCCATGCCGTCGCAGTTTCATTCGAAGACGAGATTATTGAATGATCTGCGCTTGATGGCATCCTTCCGAGGCTAGCTCCGGCTTTTGGGATGGACTTTCTCCCGGAGTTTCCTATCGCTTTTTTCCTCCTCTTCGGCTTGGCTTATTCCGGCCTTGGCTTCGACGTCATGCAGCAGATTGGCGTTGCATTTCTGGTTAAAGCACATAAAAGGTATGTGATGATGAAGAGAAAACTGCTTGCTTAGTGGTTTCTTGTAGCATCGCCATTTGCAGACGGTCGGTGGCTTTCTTTTCTGCTAACGCAACGATCAATGGGTCAATGTCGTTCTGGACACTTAAGCTTCTGGAGACGGATGTTCCCCATGCTCCAGTTTCCCCAGACTTTGGACCCGCCAATGCTCCTCGCTTCTCTCCTCCCACATGGCAAGATGATCGGCAAAGAAACAGACGATCTTACGATGTGCAACCGCCCCGTCTTGTTCTCTCCTCTTGAACGCACGGACAAGAATAATCTGCGACGCTTCTTCCAAAACCCGTGGCCAAGTCATTGAGGGTGTCTGGTAGCAAGCATGCGGTTAGCCGCAGCAAATTACTTAAAGTGCAGTTGACAAACAAGCTCATGCTCTTGATCCCTCTTATTGACAAGACTCATCTGCTACGATTCGCCATGCGGCAAACGCCTCTCTTTCTAGACTACGCCCTCCTGGAATGTTCGCCCATCAAACTGTGGCTTACCAGCGATAAGGGTATTATCTCAGCACCCAATGCTCCGTAAGGTAGTCGAGACGGATGATATCGTGGCTTTTTGTTAGCTTCATGTTCTCCAGACTCTCGAGGCCACTGAGGCAGCTGACCTGCTTTCCGTCCCATTTTAGGCCCCGGAGACAATGATCCTACGGAGAGGTGTTCGGAGCACATATCCCGCTATACCCTCTTCCACGGCCTCGGGATTCTGGCGTCTTGTTCAACTCATCTAACGTCTCGATGGTCAAGTGACCGGCGTATCTGGCCCGGCGAACGGGCTGGCGCCACTCGGCAAACATGCCTTTACGTAGCCACGAGGTTGCATCATCACACATAGGGCTGCGTTGAACAAGACGACCCTGTGATACCAATCGCAACTCGAAAACCGCAACTTCCACGCGAATGGGGTTTCCACTGTATGCAAACCGGGCCAGTAGCCCGAAGATTGGGCACGCCCCCGTCTTGACATTGTATGGCCTAGTCGTGTCAGCAGGCTGTAGACTGCAAAATCAGCCCATCTCATCGAGAATGCGAGAAAATGCGAACTACGCATGCTTTGTTGCAGCCCTGGCTGTCTTAGTGACAAGACGAAGAGGTTCAAGCGATGTGTGCATTGAAGGTCTGGCCCACCCGGTCACAATGAACCGTTACTCTTCGGTTTCGATTCATCTCAGCCAGTCTACTGGCAGCTTCGGGAGAATTTCCCGTGAAATGTCGAGATGCTATCTTCCAACATCTTGTCAAATATGGACGAGACTCTAGAGGCTCATCTCAGACTCTAGGCCACAAAGACGGCAGATGATAGATATTAATCTAAGCTGTATATTTTGTCCAATGCTGGGCCATCAAACGGAAGGCTGTACTACGGTTGTAGACTGCGCATTGCATTGAACAGAGCGACTACATTGAGTTGAACAGTCGGTCGCTCTTATAGTTCTCCCTGGCCTCCTCTCAAACAACAGTTGGGGCCCTAGAGTGACACATTATTCGCACATCAAGCCTCACCTGCGATAAATCTTCGAGCTGGTATGCGTCTTCATGATAACATACATGCAAGCTCTCTTGAATTCCTGATACTATATTGGGCTAAAATACAATTGGGATCCGTATATCTGCATTCGCGTCTCTTTCCATGGCTTCGTACTGGAGGTAGTCCTTCACGTTTCAATACCACGAGTTCGGCAGTGACTCGGTAATATGCCGCTGAGCCAGCAATAAGCCCAAGGATAATTGAAGAAACGCATCAGGCTCTTGAATATCCGAGTCCTCCCCTTAGTATACCAGAAGGATTGTCCGAACTGTCACCGGGGTTCGAATCTCAGCTTCTATCAGCTCCGAGCGAGTTCGACATTTATCATGATTCCATACGAGCAAAGGCATTATGGACCACGGAAAAGGGGCATCGTTGCCATCTTCACCGAATATTCGGCCAAAACTCCTGTCTTTGACCCATCTTTTACCGACAATTGTGCTGCAGCGTGTCGATTCGACGATTTTTCAGCGATGTGTCTAGGGTAGCAGGAATAGGGGTCCAATGCCAATCCAGGCAAGCGCAAGCAAGCAGGCTTGGCAATCTCAGGGAAGGCACGAACGATACTGCATGGATGCTTATCAGTTTGCGCAATACCTCAGGCAGCCACCAATTCTCAACTGATGCAGCCACCTTGAATGCGAACATATCCTTCGAACTGCCAAGAAGTGACAAGTCGGCAGCTTTTCCACGGCTCTGCAGCCGGAGTTTGCACAGACCTGCGCAGAAGCGAGCGCAAATGCCCAAGGCAGCCAATTGCAAGCCCGCGGGCACGCACAACTTGCCACTCGGTTGGCCTGAATCGTACGCTTGCAGCGAATGCGCCTCACCAGCATGCGGCCGGGTTCAGGGTTCGGTGCGACTGTCCACACCGGGTTGTCATCCTGCTGCATCCACTGCGGTTGAGTGGGTTATCGTGGCCTGTTACGAGGGAAGCCAGTGGCGCTCGGAAAAGGTCGCCAGCAGAGCGATTCATGGAGAGCGAGAAACTCGTCCGATGCACTCCGGGGGAAGCGCTGGTGAGATGCGACACTGGACCAGACAATCGCAGCAGTTGGCCTCGTTGGACGAGCAGGCAGAAGGCCGTTTTTGCTCCAGATGCACATCATCCGCGTGGAGGCTCCCATGCGGGGAGAGATCGTGAGATCGACTCGCCTCCCATTTCTCCTTTGGTTAGTTCTCCGAAAAGGCGGCAGCACTCGAGCCGTCCTGTTTGAAGGGTCCAGTTTGGCGGAGAAGTGGCGGGGACCGGTTGGGTGAGATTGGAGATTCAGCCCGCATCTCCTGGGCCCTGATCTTGCTTGCTCTGGCATGGCGCTCCAGCCTTTACGCTCCTCAGATCTCGCTGGCGCTACCTCCCTCCCGCCAGATGCCAGATGAGGACATGCTGCTGGTCAACTCTATTTAGACGCCGCGAGCTGGCTGCCATGTGCTGCTACTCCCCTGCTCCCTTCCGCTGCCATATCGTTCGACTTCCTCCCGTTCCTTTTCGCCTTTTTCTCACGCCGGCTCGGGACACAACAACGGAGAAAATACCGCGGACGGCTAACTTGGATTATGGGGCCTGGCCCAGCCTTGCAGGGGTTGCTCACCCACGGTGACGTAGAGTGTGCAGGGATGCGTGTGGCTAACATTTCCCTCTCCTCCTATTGAAAGGCAGGCTGTACGACAAGAACGCCCTCGTCCGCCAGTTATCCGCCTTAACCGGCGCCATGTTCGAGCTACGCATATAATCAAGGAAAACAGGCACCTAAGCCGTATGGGGCCTGAACCCAGACATCCACAATGCAACCAGAGTGTGTTTTACAAAGGTCCTGAATGGCAGTTGGGAGAAGGGGTGGAATGTGATTTGAGCGCGGGCTGTTGTTTGAACGAGCCAACAAGGGGGCCTGGGGGGTTTTAGCTCGTTCGCAGGAGGAATACCCGAGGAAGAGGAAACCAGTTTAAAAGGTGTCTTGGAGCCATATTCCATGCCATTTGCGGTTCATATACCATTTCCCCCATTGTCTCCCGCCAGCCTTGGGAGCAGTGCCATCACAATGTCTTCCGTTTCTTCATCTGCAGCGCCCTTGGGGCCGCGTCCCAACGAGTCCGCGGATCTTGGTCCGAACGGCGACGATGACAAGAAGATGGCGCTCTCTGAGCCGTCGAGAGCGGTAGAGGTTGAGCTTCCTGGAACGATTATGCCGGCTCTGGGCGAAGGCGACATCCCAACGACGACAAAATGGGAGATCTGGACGTGGTATGCCTACTATATTGGCGCCAACGGTCTGTCACTCTTCAACTTTGGCCCTACGGCCTTTCAGAATCTGCTCAGCCAAGCTGCTCCGGAAGATGGTCTTTTGCTGTTCGCCGGTCGGTATCGCGATGTGAACAGCATCGTCCTGCTTGCCAACGGCATCTCCTTTGCCCTACAAGCTGCCCTGTTTCTCATCATAGGTGCCTACGCCGACTTTGGGACAGGGCGCCGTTGGATTCTCATTGTCTGGTCCCTTGTCGCCTATGGCATTGGCTTTGGCTGGCTGGGCGTCCATGATCCTGAAAAGTGGAAGATTGGCACGGCCCTCTACATTGTTGGCCTGATTGCTTACCAGCTGACATTGACATACTGGACCGCCGCCTTTCCTACCCTAGCCCGCAACACCACGAAACTCAAGGACGCCCGGTTGGCCTACGAGGCGGGCGATATCACCCTGACGGAGCTGGACCACCGGGACGAGATGGAGCGGAGCCGGCTGAGCAATGTCTCCTTCTACATCCAGTCCGTGGGAGAGGTGGTGATCTTGGCCATCATCGTGGGCATCATGTTTGCTCTCAAGGTGGACGAGAGCGCCGCGAACAACAACTGGGGCCTCTCTGTGCTGATTGCCTTTGCCACTGCCGTCTGGCTGGCTCTGTCCATCCCGTGGTTCTTCGTGGAGAAGAGCCGCCCCGGCATGAAGATCCCTCCTGGCTACAACATTGTCACGGTTGGCTTCTGGCAGCTGTATGAAGCCCTGACGCAGATCCGACAACTGAAGCAGAGCTTGATCTTCCTGGCCGGATACTTCCTCCTGGGCGACTCTCTCAACACGACAGTGACGGTCATCTCGACGCTGCAGAACCAAGTCGTGAGCTACAACACCCTGACGCTGACGTACCTCCTCATCGTGGGCATCGTTGCGCAGGCCGTCGGCATCGGTGCCTTTTGGCTCATCCAGAAGAAGTTCAACCTGAGCGCCAAGACCATGTTCAACGCTGTCATGGTGTCCATCATCCTGCTCGACGGCTGGGGCATGATTGGCAACTGGACCGACAAGTTCGGCTTCCACAACGAGTGGGAGGTCTGGGTCTACCAGGCGTTTTACGGGCTGTTTGTGTGCCCGTGGTACAGCTACTCGCAGATCATGATCAGCTCCGTGACGCCCCGCGGCCACGAGTTCCTCTTCTTCTCCATCTTCAACATCATCGGCAAGTCGTCGAGCTTCATCGGCCCGCTCATCAGCAGCGCCATCATCGACGCCACGCCCGGCGGGAGCAACAACAGCGCCCCCTTTTACTTCTTGTTCGCCCTAACCATTGTCAGCGCCGTCGGCATCTGGACGTTTCTCGATCTGGACAAGAGCGCGCGGGAGCAGGATGCGTTTCTGGCGCAGGAAAAGGCGCGGGTGTTGGGCGACGACGCGACGAATACTAGCAAAACGACTGAACAGGATCCGGCTGGCGCGCATGATTTATGATCTGATTTCTTTCCTTTTCTATATATATATATTTTTTCTGGTCTTGGGCATGGGTCTTTTTCTTGGTTTGCCTTGATGATTGGCTTTTTTATCTAGACAATGATTTCGCATTCTGCCCGGACGATGGCAGATGCGTATGCTCCTCCCCCCTCCCTGTTTATGCTTTGAATCGTAGATGCTCATGTTGTTTGAAAGGTAGAGTTTCCATTGGGATGTTAACGTCCACGTAGGTTGACCTGATGCGCTCTTACCCAACAACATCGTGATATGACATGCCGTATTGTCCATTATTTTTCCTTTATTCTCAAAAGTCGTTAATTCTGGCTAAATCGATCAATATACCACATTACTTTCCCCCAATCATTCCCCAATCCTCATATCTTGGCCGTCAGTCTACAAAAGCACGAAGACGTAATCGGCACATCGGCCACCTCCAAAGCCCTCTTCAACGCCGGCTGCACCCCCCTCGCCTCCTCTACCCTCCCCAGCTTCACCAAGCACTCGTGGTAGCCGTGTAGCGCCCACACATTGTTCGGATGCCGGTGCACCCTCGGCAGGGACTCGTCCACGCCGAGATCCGCGCTGTACACGGCCAGCGCCTCGGCAACGTGGCCCTGCTCGAGCAGCAGCGCGCCGTAGGCGTGCCGCGCGGGCTGCATCCAGCCCCAGGGCTCGTCAAAGGGGAGGCTGTCGTAGCGGGCGATGGACTCGCGGAGGTGGGCGAAGGCGGCGGGGTAGTTCGCGGAGCGGTACTCGATCTCGCCGTCGAGCATGGACTCGGCGACGCAGAGGATGTCGATGCACTTGTTGTTGAAGAGGGTCCGGCTGGGCTTGACGCGGGGGACGGAGGCGAGGAAGAGGGCGCGCTGGGCGCGGGCCTCGTCGACCTGGCCGAGGGCCGCGAGCGCCATGCCCCGTGCGTAGTATGTCAGGGCCGTCGTGACGCAGTAGAGGTCTCGGTCTTCGGGGAGCTTCAAGGCGAGTATGTCCTTCCAGCGGCCGAAGCGGATGAGCACGTGCACGCGCATGGCGAGGAAGGCCTCGAGCCAGTCTGCCATGGGCGGCGTCTCGACGCGGAGGAGCTCCTCGGAGAAGCTCGCCTCGAGCCGCTCGACCGTCTCGAGGGCGACCCTGGACTGGCCGGCGAACATGGCCGAGTAGAGGCGGAAGTGGTAGTCGTGGCTGCGGTACAGGGTGTAGAAGTTCATGGGACCCTCGCGCCGGAGGAACTCTTCGTCGGCGCGGACGGCGTCCGAGTTGGCGACGACGGCGCGCGCGTAGTCCCCGACGAGGATGTCGATGTGGCTCGGCATGTGGTTGAGGTGGCCCGCGTCGGGGACGAGGCCGCGCAGGGGGTCGGCGGCGGGCAGGGCCGCCTCGGGGGTGTTGGACATTTCCATCAGGTGGATGTAGAGATGCAGCAGGCCGGGGTGTCGGGTGCCGCCGTCGAGGGACATGGCGTGCTCGAGGACTTGTTTGATCTCGAGGGTACGGGCATCGGCGGCCGGGCTGCCCGTCTTGATGTCCCAGAGAGCCCAGGGGGTGAGGTTCATCATGGCATCCGCGTATAGGGCCGCAACATCGAGGTCGTCTGGGAACTGGGCCGAGACAGAACTCATGGCATCAGCGTATTCTCGATTCCATATGGGGCGGTCCGCCTTTGTCGGCGCGTCCGCCCTCGGGTATCTATGTCGAAGCGCCTCAATCAGCGCCCTCTCGACGGGCGTCGCCGCCTCGGAGCACGCCTTTGCCTTTTCGACGGCTCGATGCGTCCGGTCCGCCGTGCTCTGCCTCTCCCGCCGGCCAAACAGGTCCCAGGGCTTGTTGTAGTTGGGCCCCAGGGCGTAGGCGAGCCCCCAGTGGGCCATGGCGCAGGCGGCATCGTGGGCAACGGCCCGCTCGAAGCATTTGGCCGCCTCCTCGTGGTTGAAGCCGTAGCACCAGACGAGGCCGCGGTTGAACCAGGTCTGGGCGATTGGGTTGCTGGTGGACACGGGGCGATGGAGGGCGCCGAGGTCGTAGTAGTCGCCGTCGAGACAGGGCCTCTCGCCGGCCGGTTTGCTGGCCTCCTTTTCTTCCATCTCCTCCATCTCTCGACCGCGTCTTCTGCTCTTGGGGGTCTGAAGCCTTTGGGCCAGGCGGTGTTGCAAGAGGCGAATCGGTGTGAGCTGGAGGGTATGCTGGGCATGTCATCGTCTAGAGCAGGCTGGAGCCGGCTCAAGCCCGACCAAGACGCATGTCATCTGCATCTGCTAGCTCTGGTGGGGATCCGGGGCTTCAAGCCGTGGCGCGACGAGCCGAAAGCTTATTGACCAGGAGAGGTCCGCTTGAAGCAAGGCGAGAAGCGTCTGTGGGCAGTTTCTGCCCTGACATTCGCTGTATGATGAGACGAGAAGCAGGGTGAATGTTTGCAATGATTTTGAGAGGAAGCTGAGCGAGATCGGCAAAGGATCTGGAATGCCCCCGCTATGAGGGAGGAGGGGGAATTAATTGTCCGAGGGTACGATATACTTGTACGACTTGAAGTGGGATTATATCGTCATCTTTCTATGGTTACAACCTCACAAAGACGTGATTACAACGGGAGTTGGAGGGAATCATTTGCTATTAGAGGCTTGTCAGATTGATTTTGGAAAAGTACCATTGGCCTTCATGTGCTCCAATAGAACGTTGTTTAGGTGCCTTCGACATTTGAGCGGTGTAAGTCGGCCGTGTGAATGTCTCGGACGGCCCATACCAGACTCGAACTCGATAGTACTACTATGCAGTAGAGGGATGAACCCCATTCTCCTAATAAGGGAAGCTGTTGTATTACGACCATGTCTGCTCTACATAGATGAGAGATAGGCTCCAAGCTTGGCAAGCAATGTTCGACCTGTGCCGTCCTCTCGACTTGACTATAATGGTCTGCATTCCTGAGCAGCGTGTCTTGGAGTCGAGTTGGATACATGTAATAAGGCAACGCCATGTCTCATGGAAGTCAGTCTGAATGAGCTTTGGGATCGTGTTTTCTGGGAGCTTCTGGTTCTCAATTTGTCCTTCACGACTCCGGTCAACAGCCATCGCCATGACTATCAGCTTCGAAAAGTCGACGGCGCACTGCGTTGCTGCCCTAACCTCAGGCCGATGCCGCGCAGTTTTAGTCGTGGCCGTCATCATCGTAACCATTTACGCCTTTCTCTGCAGGACAGACGATTTCTATCATCCAGAGCGGCCATATGTACTGGATCGGAACTCCAAGACGACAGACGGCACAGATTGGTCAAGATTCGCTTACACGCAATATGTCACCAGCAGCGTGTACCTCTGCAACTCCGTCATGCTGCTGGAACAGCTGCACCGTCTCGGAAGCCGTGCCGACAGAGTCCTCATGTATCCTGCAAAGATGCTCCCGGACCCCGAAACGTGGGACGACGGGGGCTTTCGAGATGCAGAGCTGCTGATCAAGGCGCGAGACGAATATGGTGTGAAGCTGAAGCCGATTCAGGTCCAGCATAGAGAAACGATAAACGGTACATATATATCTTCTCCGTGTTACCAGTCAGCAAGTTAGATCGCTAATGGAATCCAAACACCAGATACCTGGTCCGACTCTTACACCAAGCTCCTGGCCTTTAACCAGACGCACTACGAGCGCGTCATTGCCATTGACGCAGACGTCACCCTCCTGAAGCACATGGACGAGCTCTTCCTTCTGCCCCCGTGTCCCATCGCCATGCCTCGCGCATACTGGCTCCTCGACGACGACGACGACGACGACGACGACACGAACAAGACCACAATGTCATCCCGAATGACACTTGCCTCGCACGTCATGGTCATTCAGCCGAGCGAGCGGGAATTCGCCCGCATCCAGAAGAGCGTCGAGCGCGCGGCCGACGACGAATACGACATGGAGCTGCTCAACAAGATGTACGCCAACACCGCGATGGTGCTCCCCCACCGACCGTTTGCCATGATCTCGTCCGAGTTCCGCGAGGCGAATCACAGCTTGTACCTCGGCTCTGATGCTGATGCCGAGGAGGAGTGGGATCCGGCGGCGGTTCTGAATGAGGCCAGGACGGTCCATTTCTCAGACTATCCCGTGCCGAAGCCGTGGAAGGAACATTTGACTGCGTATGATGAGATGAGCATCCGCAAGCTGGAGCCTAAATGCGCGATGAAGAAGAAGAAGAAGAATGACGAGGGCGAAGATGATGTGGGAGAGGATTGCTCGGCGAGGGATGCGTGGAGGTGGCTGTACTCTGACTTTCGAGAACGCAAAGCGGTGAGTTTGTTCTTAGTGGACATGTTTTTCGTTGATGAAATGGGCTGACGGGGATGCTACAGAGAGTTTGCGCGCGAAAGCCATGGCTGAAGTCTGAAGCTGTGGAATCTGGAGGGGCTGAGGAGGAGGAGGAGGCGGGAGAGTCCGAGGAGGCGATTTGATACGCATTCCGTCTGTGGACCAAGGTGACAATGACAAGCTTGACTTTTGAAGCGCAGAATTGATGGAACTATATGAACCCTCAGAGGAAGATCAAGAATATTGAACAGCGTCAGTCTTTAAGAATGCCGTGGTTGATGACTTTGAGGCAGTCGATGAAAGAGCATCCGCCTCAGCGGAACTGTCCGCTGCAGAAGCCCCAGCTGAACAACTGCGGCCCCGCCCCCACTTCCGCCGGCCATCCGCTCCAAGCCGCGCCGTCGATCCAACTTCTGGACCTCGAATATTTGTCACTCCCTCTTCCAACAAACACACACCAGGAATTGCTCTCCCCTCCCTTCATCTCTCCTGTATCCCTATACCCCATCTCCTCCTCCTCCTCCTCCTCCCTCCTCATCCTCCTTCGCATCCCTCATCAAAAGATCAGCCAACATGTCCTCCTCCCCGTCCTCCTCCCCCTCTCCCTCCTCCCTCGCCCACCTCCTCCCCCCCAGCTGGCAAACCCAAGTAACCGCCTGGCTGGCCGAAGACACGCCCTCCTTCGACTACGCCGGCTTCGTCGTCGGCGACGCCCCCCGCACCGCCACCCTCTGGGCCAAATCCCCCGGCATCATCGCCGGCCGGCCCTTCTTCGACCAGGTCTTCCACCAGTGCGGCTGCGCCGTCGAGTGGCACGCCGACGAGTGCTCCCCCGTAGTCCTGGACCAGGGCAGCAGCAGCAGCAGCAGCAAGATGAAGGTCGCGACCGTCACGGGCCCCGCGAGGGGCATCCTCCTGGGCGAGCGAGTCGCGCTCAACGCCCTCGCGCGGTGCTCCGGCGTCGCCACGCAGAGCCGCGCCCTCGTGGACAAGCTGCGCAAGGCCGGATACAGGGGCGTGCTCGCGGGCACGCGCAAGACGACGCCCGGGTTCCGCCTCGTCGAGAAGTACGGCATGCTGGCCGGCGGCGCCGACGCCCACCGCATGGACCTGAGCGCCATGGTCATGCTCAAGGACAACCACGTCTGGAGCCGCGGCAGCATCGCCGAGGCCGTCGCCGCCGCCAAGAGCGTCGCCGGCTTCAGCGTCAAGGTCGAGGTTGAGGTGCAGTCCGAGGCCGAGGCCGACGAGGCCATTGAGGCCGGCGCGGACGTCGTCATGCTGGACAACTTCTCCGGCGACGGCGTCAAGGTCGCGGCGAGGAGCTTGAAGGAGAGGTGGGCCGGCAAGAAGCACTTTCTACTCGAGGTCTCCGGGGGACTGAGGGAGGATAACGTGGAGCCGTATGTGTGCAATGGTGAGTTTCTGAGTTCCTATACTGTGTGGTATGAGTGCTGGGCTTTGCGCGGTTCGGGTGACTGACGGTTTTGATAGATGTCGACATTATTTCGACGAGCTCGATTCACCAGGGGGTTCCGCACGTCGACTTTTCCCTCAAGATCAATCACTGACCGGATTGGGGGCATCGGACATAGACATGAGTGTATGGTATGTGTATTGAATGTATATGGACAGGATATATCTGTTGAAAAAGATGTGGCTATTCTGAAGTATCCGGCTTCGGTTCCCAAGCCGACACAGCTAGAATGGACAAAAGGCTATAAAAAATACAAAAAAGTACACATCTATGAGTGTTATATTACTCATTTACTCTCCTTCTTGGTTCCAAACAATCCGTTAAATGACTTGCTCAGCCTCTTGCTCAGCTTCTCGTCAGCATTCGCCTTCTCGTCAACATGGGCCCCCACCGCCTTAGGATCAATGCTCGGAGCGCTCCCCTGAAGATGTGTGACCGGGTTCTGCTGCACCGGCGACGCATTCTTGTCGCCAGAGGCAGTGCAGCATGATCCTCCGAGAAGAACGCTGGCGTCGTTTCTGGTCGAGGGAACGTCAATCGCAGGATTGGCGGTGAAAAAGTCTGTAGGGCGGATATGGATCTGGAAGATTTCGACTGGCCTGGTTGCTGTTAGCAATGATATCATCGATGAGAGGAAAAGAGAGCTCGACTTACATGACGGGCCAGTCCTCTATCCGGGGGTTATGTGTCAGCCCAAACACGCTCCACACAACAGGGCTGCTCCTCTTCCCCTGATCCTCCGCATCACCATTCGCCCCATTGGTCTCTCGGTCTGTAAACCAGTCTCCTCGCTTGACCATGTCGGCCACGCCACCAACCTCCCTGGTGCTCTGGTTCGTAAACTCGCCCGCTGCCCACAGCTCGCCATCTCGGTAACCCGTCACCCAGGCATTGTGCTGAGCAAACTGCGCTCGCTGAGCCGCCAAGCCCTCGGGGTCGGCCAGCAGCATCTGCGTCACTGGCGCGACGAGCTTGTAGGCGAGGTTCTTGCCCGAGATGGGGTTCTTCTTGTTGGCGTTTTCCAGCTTGAGCAGCCGGTTGAGGCGCGGCTCGGCATCGATCCACGTCGCCTTCTCGACCTTTTCACGCTGCACCTTGTAAAAGTTGCCGTACGGGTTCGTCTTGGGGTCGATCTTTTGCCCGTGCGACTCTTCAATGACGACCTGGGAGTCGGCATCGTTGTACGAGTCGATGGCCGGGTCGATTCTCACCGCAAACACGTGCTGGTGGTTCTGGGCCAGGACGCCAGGGGTCATGATGTTGCCGTAGGCACTGACCTTGCCTTCGTCAATGCTGGTGACGCTGACAATGCCCGTGGCACGGGTTTCGAGAGTGATGGAACCGGCGAGATCCAGCTTGTACGCCAAGACGTACTCGTAGTTGGCCAGAGTGGCGATGAACTGGACCACGAACTCGCGGTTGCGCGTCACAACAGCCCGGTTTGTGCGGAAGTTGGTGTGCTTCCACAGGATGCCATTGTCCTGCTCGTGGAGGCACACCACAGCCTTGGCCGTTGAGGGCGCGCCGTCGGGCTCTGTGGTGAGGGCGTCAACATAGTGGATGGCTCCAAGACAATCGCAGCCCAGCTCCAGGTTGTTGGCTGCCCTCCCCATGCCGCCGTCACCAAAGTCGAAAGCCTGTTTCCTGTGGAAAGGGGGACGCGGGTCTGCGTAGGGGACCGTCATCTCACTGAAGCTGACGCGATACATGACGGAGCGGTTGTCGTAGTGGACGTCGTGCAGGACGGCGCCTTCGCGAGGGGTGAATCCAAGGCGGAATCTCCACTTCTGCCACTCGATCAGACCATCGTCTTGAATCGTAAAAGAAGCGCCCTCGGGCTGTATGATGTTGATGGGCTTCAGGTCCGTCCTCAGGGGTACGTCCAGCAGCTCGGGGACGTACTCGCAGCCCTTGTGGTTCTCAAACAGCTTGACGGGCTCCTCGCTTCGGGGTTTGGCCTCGAGCTCATCGTCAATGCCACCAGTTGCGATTCTCTCTACTCTGATGAGCTTCTTGGTATGCCAGTCCATTACGGGGACAATGGGGATCGGGTAGCCGTAGTGGTTGGAGTCGTCGTTCTTGTTGCGGGTGTCCTTTGCATAGACCAATCCCTGCATATACCGCGGAATGTCCTTTTCATCGGCGTTGGGGGGGCCATAGGGCCACGGGTCGATGCAGATTTCAAAGCCTTCGGGAAGGACGAACTCGGACATTGCCTCTTTGAAGAGATCCGAGTTGATGCAAGCATCGTTGAAGAGGTCAAACTCGCCACTACAATGTGTCAGAAACCCTTCTGTGCCCTCGCAATGACCAGGTTTGTAGACTTACGGCGTGACATATGGCTGGTGCGGCACCGGGGCTGACACGGTGGCGACCTTGCCAGTGTCCAGATTGACAAACGCGTTGATGTACTCGGAGCGATCAGCCCGGATAACATCGTGCTCGACAATGGCCACTCTGTCGGGCCGCTTGGTCTCGTCTGTCAGCTTGCCCGTGTGCTCGGCCTCGAGAAAGGGCTGCAGCTCGGCCTTTTTGGGCTCCTGGACGTGGATGGCTCTGAAGAAGATGGATTCGGAGGCTCCGTGGAGCTTGGCAACGGCATCGCGGGCCTTGATGTGCTCTTCGGGGGAGAGCGGCGCCAGCGGATGCGGCCGAGGAGCTGCGGTGACGGCCATTGTGTTGTATGTTGTGGACAAAGGGGGAGTCGAAGGAGGGTGAAGCAGTCAAGTAGGGTATCCTACTGCTTCAGAAGGTGAGAGACGAAGAGCGGCTATCTGCGGGGATTGGCGCAACGGTCAAGCAGCCCAGCTTACTCCGTCCGGCTTCTCTGTATGTATGATGTGATATTCAAGCGGCAGTCCCAGATGACTTGGCAAATTCCTAGTGCTCAGCTGACCGATTCGGGCAACGAATTGAAGTGAAGACTGGGTGAGACACAAGCCGAGGTCTATCAATGGGATTGTTGGAGATGGAGAGAGGGGATTGGCGAATGTTTAAGTAGATGCTCTCGATCAACAGCGATGCCTCAAGGACGCCGCGGACGGCCGGGGCATGAGATGGAAGTGGAGCTTGTCCACTGATTGCGGATGGATTCGTGCATGTTGTAGGAGATGCTTAGACTCGGGCGAACTGGCCTTGCGGATGATGTTCGTTGAAGACACGATCCAATGGTACAGAATAGTGATGAACCAGGTATCGTGAAGCCCAGGTGGGGCAGCGGCTTCTCCAAATTCTGGAGGTTCCAGCACTTGCCCCGCGTTCTTCGGCGGCGTCCAGCCAACCAGAGCGCTGCTGCAGTGAGTCGCTGGAGTTCATCTTGACATTGAGGATTAGCGTCAGCTCAGTTCTCCTCTTGATAGATAACAGATCGGAGGACATGAGCCTTTCCATCTCTGGGCAATTGTCTTCACTTGGACCCTTTTTCTCGATTCTTCCCTCTTTTCAGCCCGCCTCGGCACATGGCCCTGGCTATGCCTATTCGGGGCGATACCACGCTAGACGTGCATGAGGCTCAAGCCATGGCCGTAACTGTTCGCTAGAGAGCTGATGAGTGTGTCCAGATACCTTATGCCATATTTGCGGTACTTTTCACTTGTAGAATCTACTAGATCTGATGGACGTTATTGCCTGTTTTTGGACTTGCTCGTATGTGAAGAATCCTCGCGGAATCGGGATCGGGGACATACTGTACCTTCGAGTGAGGGGTTGCAGCAGCCCGGAGCCGTGGAGATGGGATGAGCGTTGATAGTTTGGATAAATCTCCGGATTGGAGGATGCCTAAAGTGGCAATTCTCATGAGCTCCAGCCTTGGCAGTTATACGACTGTTGAGTGAGTGACTGAGGTTATCATGTTGTATAGTGATTCTAAACGCTTGTGGATGGGAATATTGTCTATATGCCTCCAATTCCAGCAATAGTCCAACCATGAGATTGGCTCTTCTGGATAATCCATGTTACAATGAGAGATCTTCTCGCCTTGTTCGATACAGAATGTGCCGTTTGAGACCAAGGAGCAAGTCTCTACACTCCATCCCCCAACATCTTGACCTTGGCTGTCAAAGCCATTATCAATTCAACTTACACCGTACTTTACATATCAGATAAAAGATATGTTATACTATAACACTTCTACATCTCCAATCTCACTTATCGTCCGACGGCAGGCTATCAACAAGATAAACGCCTATCCAGTCAATCCCCTCCGCCCCGCCACGGAAACCTTCCCCCCCTGTTCTCCTCTCCCCCGCGCGCCGTCTCGCCGCCCTTCGCGCCGCATCGCGGAGCCGAAAGAAGCGCGGGGCAAGACCCAAACTGGAAGCAAAACCACATGCGGTGCCGTAGAGCCTAGTTTGAGAAACCCAAGAACAGTAGTTGAAGTGCATCGTGGGTTCTACATCTTGAAACTGCATCATGATGAGACATTTCTGCTTCGGGGTTTGACGTCGCTTGGCTGGTCCAGTCGGGCCCTCTGTCTCGGAAGTCGGCTGCGTTACATCGGTAGGACAGGTAGTAGTCAGTGTTGAAGGGCCTCGGTCTTGATGCTCGGCGATGCTGTAACTCTTGACGTCTCTCTGGCATGCCACCTTTGGTTTGCGCTCGTGTATAAGCGCGGTCCTTCGGGAGGTCGATTACATGTACTCTCTTCGAGCAGTTACAACTACCACTTTGATCAAAGAAATCCTCAAACATAATAAAGTATGCTTAGATGTAAGTGACGGGATGACTCGTCGGCGTCGAATCTACTCGAAACCTGACATGTAGCAAAATGGCACAAATTCCAAGCTTAAAACTTTAAACCACCCCGGCCAAACAGTGTGGCGGCATCGATCAAGACGACGTTGCAACAGCATGTGATGCGATCCAAAAGGTCATGCCACTCGGGCGGCAAGCTGGATCGCAATCCGTCTAAGCCTCGCACTTTTGGTGTTTCATGAGTGCTGCCATTGGGACATTTTGGAGGCGAGGCGCTGGCTGTGCTGGAGTCGGAGCATCTGCGCCGCTTCACTTGTGATGGCTACCTTATGCTAGAAAGCGATTTCTGAGTTCAATGACGCCGGTGGAAAGGAAGAGGCAAGTTTGTGCTGGAGGGAATGGATCAGCTGGTGCTGAATGGACAGAACGCATTCCTTCTAGAAATCGCCAAGAATATGGGACATGATGCAACATCCCTTGAGCAGCGCTCGATGGCTTGTAAAGAACTAAGCATGTAGAGAACATGCATCCCGCCTTTGCCCACACCCTCAACCACCATCTCCCGACAGCTTCAGCGACATCCTCAGCGGCGCATCCATTCCAGAGCACCATCTTCCCAGTCGCCGTCGTCATGCATCATGCATCGCCACATGCACATCACTGACGACAAGTCACTGTGGCTCAGCCGTCATCATCAGCCTCAACCACACATCGCACACTCGGCTCGAATCCAGGTGCAACAATTAGGCTGCAAGCTGAGCTCCTTATTTTCTCTCATCGATTCCAAAGTTACCTGTCATTATCCAGCCCTACAGCTCCGCCTCGCTCTCGGCCGGTCCGGCGAAAGCAACACGAGATCCGAATCTCAACAATACCAGGATGCTAACGGTCTGTCGACGAGAGCCCTCGTAAGGGAGAACGAGGGCAGTTACTGGTCCAAGCGTCTACTATTGGACAACGCTGATGCATCGTATCCAGTATCGAAACGAAAGGGGTGAGAACCGATGCCTGCACTCGGCCTTTTGCGGGTAGTAATGCCTTCAAGGCACCAGCTTGTGCATCTCCAAAGCGACGGGCGAGCCGAGATCAAGTCGTTTCCCACGGCTGCAAACGTCCAGCCCTACGTTACAGCCTGTCCATGGCCAAGCAAGTCGCCTATCAACCCATCCATGCCCGTACCTACGCTATAAAGCTCGGATCGTCTCGGGCAGCACCAATGCCGCTGTTTGCCATGTCACAAGAGGGGTTTCCGTGATTTTTGATATATCCTCCAGTGGTTTTGCTGCGATGCGAGATGGCAAAGTGCATCATCTCGCCGAGGGAAAGCTTGTGTCGCGAGTTACCGCATCTTTGGGAGATACAAGTGCAACTTGTAAAGTGACAGAGCGTAATCATACTCGTCGTATTGGAAGCCAGCTTGTCTAATCTGCTTGTGCTTGATCGATTGTGCGCGGCGAGCACGTAATTGCTTTTACGAAGCCCTCACCATTTCGTTCGTGTCTCTTATCAAGGCCCGTGGAAATGAGAGGCGCCGGAAATGAATGGACTATGTACAGTGCGATTGACCAGGGGTGGCCCTTGTTCTTGACCAGCCGGAGAATATCGCATAGATACGAACTGATAACGAGAGAGAACAATGATACCTAATCAAACCTCGAAGAAAAGAGACGGTTTCGGATGCTGAATAAGGTTCCCCCGGCATTGACGAGACAATCTCCAACTTAAAAAAATGGCATTGATCGATTTCACGTGATGGACGACTGCTGGCCGCATTCCTGAGAACAAAAAAAAAAGAAAAGAAGAAGAAGAAGAAGAGAAAAAAGAACCTTGAGGGATGAAACGTCGACAATGGAGATTGCGAAACAGGCCAAGGAATCAATCACTTCAATTGTGCTCAGTGTTGCCTCAGCGGCCAATGAGATGGAGATACTGTGCCTGTGCCTGTAGCGCGAATTTCTCGGTGGCTTTCTTTCTCTTGGGCTAGGTATTTCACTTGCTAAGGCGTAGGGGTCCGAAATGACGTTATCTCCACGCCCCGTTGTTCAGCTTGTCAGCAGTCGGTGCCTGTGAGGACGCACGTTGCTGAGAAGAGGGATATGATTCAAGGCAGAAGATGGTATGTCTGTGAGAGTAGAATGAATATGCCTTCTCTGGCGTTGAACCTTGGTGGACGATCAATGGCAAGACAAAACAGCGAAACCATGACTGCATGATCATCCTGTAGCGGGCTTCAAAGCGCCAAGCTTCTCGACGATCTGGCAGCACACAATCCACGATCTTCGCGCTGGCGTTTCATGTGCGCCTTCATGGTTGTCAGAGGGATCGCATGCCGTCTCTTGTCCTGCCGTCTTGCCCCCTTAAGTATAAGATCAGTAAGGTAGGCAGTGCTGCATGTCCGTTGGCTGATACGTTACAGGCAGCATGTGAGCCTCGTGCGTGCTTTTGCATACTCGTACGCGCCCTGGACCAAGACGAGATTGGATAAGTAGGTGCGCGCCTGGCTGTAGCTCATTGCCGTCCTGGGGAGGTGGTATTGACGCTTATTCTGACGAGATCTCGGCTTTGATTAGATGGGAGCTGCATCTTTTATTGTCAGGGGTAGGTCATCACGGCACGAGGCATGTCGAGATTTCAACTTGATGCGCACATTATAGATGCTTCAAATGCAGCATCTTGATGGAATATTAAAGAACCTGTACGTCTAATACTATCTCGTACGGTCTTTCCGCGAGCCTCAACACAAAGTGGGTTCGTCGCTGGTACGAGGCAGTCGGCACCTGCTAGTCGCGATTAGTGGCTAAAAAAGGCACCAGAAACGGCCTTGGCTCTGCAGGCTGCTGAGCTGAGAGGCATTGCACCCCTATTCTAGTGAGGATTCCACGGATTCTAACCCGGGCCCTGGCGCAGCTTCTTTTTTAGCTTGTTGGAGAACCAAAGAAAAAAATTGCTGGATAAGATAGACAAAGACGTGACATCGAAGAGTCGACAAGGTACCTTGACGGCCGCCACCAGATGGACGCACCGCATGCATCCACCCAGTTTCGTCCAACCTACACCTGACATTCTCCTCTTCCCTCACTCAACCTGTTCCTTTTCCACACCCCCCTTCATCGTCCTTCTTCTCTTCGTTCTCCTTGTAACGCTTTTTCTCTTCTCTCATTCGAGGGCCCGTTTTAATCTTCCTCTCGTCAATCGTTATACAACAAAGACTCGGCATCTCGTTGCCCCCCCTTTCGTCATCCCCTCTTTAATTCCATTGCCTGCATTGGACTCTCCGTATTCTCCTCCCATCTCGTATCCAAGCGCCCTTTCTGGTCCGTGTTCGAACGCCTCAGACGAAGCGAGAAGAAGAGACCGGAGACGACAGGTTATACGGAGTCATTGGAAGCACGAGAATAGTGGAAAGGGAACGAATCCACTGCCAGGCCACCCCTGCGAGGCGGAAGCAAGCGAGGAACTTCTTTTTCTTCTACCTTCTTTCTAGTGCTTGTCGGCCGTGCGATTTTCTCTTTCTTTTCCCTCGTCATCCTTCTCGGCTGTCACATTGCGATTGTGATTTGGCCGTAGCTTAATTTTGACTTTTTTTTTTTGCGGCTCATCTTCGTCAGCTGCGGTATCGACAATCCTCGACACCTATTCACCTCGTCCGGGTTACGAAACGAGGGGAACGACGAAGAACAAAGACATCAGAAGAAGAAAAGACAAGCGGCAAAGAGGCAGACGATAGAGCCCAACATGTTGAATCCACGCCGCGCCCTCATTGCGGCGGCGTTCATCTTGACAGTCTTCTTCCTCATCTCCCGATCCCACAGCTCCGAACCGTCCGCCTCCGAAAGCAAAGATGCCGAAGCAGAAGCGCTGGCCGCGGCCAATGCCCAGCAGCGCGCGGCGCCCCCGCCGCCTCCGCAAAAGCCCATGATTGACATGTCGGGCATGTCAACGTACGAGAAGCTCGGCTACGCGTACACGTACGACATCGAGTCCAAGTTCCCGGCCTACATCTGGCAGACGTGGAAGAAGACGCCGAGCGAGGCCGACTTCGAGTTCCGCGAGCAGGAGGCGTCGTGGTCGATTGAGCACCCGGGCTTCATCCACGAGGTCATCACCGACTCCGTGGCCGACACGCTGCTGCAGCTGCTGTACGGGAGCATCCCCGAGGTCCTCGAGGCGTACCACGCCCTGCCGCTGCCGGTGCTCAAGGCCGACCTGTTCCGCTACCTGATCCTGTACGCGCGCGGCGGCATCTACTCGGACATTGACACGTACGCCATCAGGAGCGCGCTGGAATGGATCCCGCCGCAGATCCCCAAGGAGACAGTGGGCTTGGTCATTGGCATCGAGGCCGACCCCGACCGACCCGACTGGGCCGACTGGTACAGCCGCCGCATCCAGTTCTGCCAGTGGACCATCCAGAGCAAGCCGGGCCACCCGGTGCTGCGCGACATCATCAGCCGCATCACCAACCAGACGCTAGAGCTCAAGAAGAGCGGCAAGCTGTCGGCCTTCCAGGGCAACCGCGTGGTTGACCTGACGGGGCCCGCCGTGTGGACTGACACCATCATGGACTACTTCAACGACGAGCGCTACTTTGACATGGAGAACAGCAAGGGCAGGATCGACTACCGCAACTTTACCGGCATGGAGACGAGCAAGCGCGTCGGCGACGTGGTGGTGCTGCCCATTACGAGCTTTTCGCCCGGCGTTGGCCAGATGGGGGCCAAGGACTATGATGATCCGATGGCGTTTGTGAAGCACGACTTTGAGGGTAGGTGAAGAACAAGAGGCGCGCAAAAGATGATGCTAACTGTCGGTTTTCAGGAACATGGAAGCCCGAAAGCGAACGACACATTGGCGAGATTGTACAAGAGCTTGGAGAAGACCAAGGAGAGGCTCCGCAGGAGCAGTAAGACGAAACATCAAGAACGAAAGATACAACGAGAGACAAAAAGAAAAAGAAGAAGAAAAAAAAAGACGAAACGAGAAATGCCTCGACAAAACCTATAATTTCACGACCGTGTCAAGCGGACGTCATGACCAAAGTCAGGAGATATCCCACTTCATTCTTCCCCTGCATCTGTATATTCTTTATCACCCAAACCTTTGTTCCCTTTTTCTTCTCAAGTGGGCTGCGGTGGGCTGGGATTCCGCATCGCTGCGCCTTTTTCTTATTTGGAAGACATTCTTATGCCACCTTTCTGCTGATGCGCCTTGCGTATGAGGATGGGCTTCACGGCCATACCTCGATTCGGTAGCGACGGCGGGGAGGAAAGCGGATGTGTTTTACTTCCTTGAAAGCATTCATCAGCATCGGGACAAAGATTTAGACTTTATGTATGTTTGGCTTTTGCTTTTCTCCTGTGGTATGAGGGGGGCCCGGAGAGGATTAGATCTGCTGGCTGGAGTTTGTTTTTTTCATGCGAGGTTGGCCAACCACTTGTCGGCGTCACTCATCTATTGGCATCGAAGCAATTCTATTGACGACGATATAGCCGTCGGGGCTCCCACCGTAAGCTCACGTAACGTAAAAGCCGAGGTCAGTCAAAACCGACGTTTGTTTTACACAAGATCATAAGACCGTATCGATAGCCGGGGAAGACCTCGTCATTTTCGTAATTACTGCTGCTACTAGTAGTATTAGACCTCGGGGCCAAACGCAGATAGAGATGAACACGGGAGTATGTACTATCTAATGTTTTGACAAAAGAGTGTGATGGAGCCGCCCCCGAGAGTGTGGTGGATTGAAGGACCTGATTTGCAATTGTTTGATAATGCCGACTGGCGCATACATTCGGCGGACGGAAAGGTTGGCGTGGCTGACGGCAAGAAACTGGGCAGGGTATTTGAATATGGCTAGAGAAGGCCCGGGAGGCGGATAGCGGACGGGCAGGGCGGACGGGGTTCTTGGGGTGCGTTCATGTTCGCTCCGTTGCGAGATTACGATCTGTGAACCACCACTACATACCTTGAGGGCGCATATCTGAGTATTCTACGGAGAGCTTCTTGATTGATTGCTAGGCCATGCCACATCCACTCAACTACTTATTACACAGCATGTTCTTTGAAGTCAACAAGGAGGACAGTAAAGGTAGAGATCATATAGACAAGTACTTGTTATGGCAGCGCTTTGGTGCCCGCCGAGCCACCACCCCCTGCAGCCCGAAACCCGGACCGCTTCCTGTCCCGCCAAAGAGCCCGCTTTCACGTTTCTCTCTTGTCCACCGGGTCCGGCGGGGATTCTGCATGTTGCCCTTTTTGCGCAATGCACCAAGGAAAGACAATACAAAACATAACACGGATCGGAGAGTAAGAAAACGTAACTAGCTTGGTAAGGCAATTTCTCTAGAAGTTTCCTTTTAGGGGAATACGAAAGTTGTGTTGAGCTGACCTGACCTCTGAATTGGTGTGTGGCGGCGAGTGTGGGGTGACAAGGAAGAAAGAATGAGGTTGAAGGGACTGGAAGGAAATGGCATACATACTTGGAACCGCAATACTATGGAAGTGCGTAGCTGTGATGGGATGTGGCGTATGGCATGGGCACTCTATTCACGGAGCTGAGAAGCTTCTTCCCAGCAATTGCATGATTGGATCAAACCACAATGTGGCTCTTCTTTCGGTCCTTGCTAGTTAGTGGGAAAAAAGCCCCCCCCCCCCCAAAAAGCCAACGACTATCAAAAAGCACGACGGTCCGAGGCTTCTTAGTGTGTGGGGAGAAGCAAAAGAAAGGGCGGCCATGGAGACCGGCAAACTCCTTTGCTTCGTTCCGCCCAGCTTTCGTTTCGGCATTATCTTCTTTCTGGGGAAAGGGGACCACAAGGTGCGGATTGGGGGAGAGGATGACGGGGGGAGGGGGGGGGGCTTGACGGGGGAACTTTGTGTTGTTTTTCCAGAGATGCTAGTTTGATCTGTAGTAGGTAGTGTCATTCGTAATACGTGTATGTGGATGAGGGGGATGGAGATGGGGGAGATGTATAAGAGGTGAGAGGAGGACAGGTGATGTGCGTTACCTGGTAGTGTGTGTTGTCTCTGAGCTGAGCTGAGCTGAGTGTGTGTGTGAGTGTTGATGTAATCTCAGTCGTGGTTCCTTGTTGTTTGCCTTTCTTCCTTGGAAAGGCGATTCGATCCTGATTCTTGGGTTTTGGGACATTGGAAAAAAAGGGAGAGGAGCTTGTCCTCCCTTTACCTTTGAACATCTTTTCAGCACACAACTCGCACGAACACACACAACTACCACGCCTCCCTCCTCCCTTGCAGCTAGAGCACAAAAAAAAAAAAACACAAAGTGGATGGCCCTCTTGTCTTGAGTCAAACCCAGTGGCTCAAACCTCCTTATTGCTCCTCTCCGCCATACGCACACTCCTCCCTCTCTCTCTCTCTCTTGCGCATCCATTCTTCTTCTTTGCTTCATCTAGCGATTTCTGCTTTTTTGGTTCTTTTCATCTTTTCGGTCAACGAACCACCACCCACAGCCAAATGTACACACGGGCGTGCACGAGGCCGCTAGGCCGTACAAGGCCTGCTGTGCGAGCCGCTGCCGCGCGGAGAGCCATGGGCGCCGCGGCGGCGGCAGCAGTCGCGAGAGTCCCCGTTGACGAGGGCTTCTTGCATCACCAGCACTGGCAGCAGCCGAGGGTATCGGGGACGGAGGGGCTGAGTATACGGACAGGGCCGACAGAGGTGAGTTGTCCAAGGGGTGGGGGGGAGAATGGGCAATATGATGGATAGGGGGGAGAAGAGAGAGAGAGACTTACACGCTCTCTCACGGAACTCACCTCACCAACAAGCATCATCACACAACAACAGCTAACACACCATCTTCCTCACTCTCAG